CAAGGCTCACGGATATATATACTTTCTGGAATTGGAGAGGTATCCTATCCCCTTTACCAATCTGTAGGAGGACAAACTACAAAAACTTTCTATTTAAATGTTGTGACGACGATATAATCTTTATAGTAATAATATGATCTTTGTCAGTAAGAACGATTGAATTAAATTTTGATATTTTTTGGTTAGAAGAGGAAAAAAGAAAGAACAGCTAAAGATCGAGGAACATAAGCTGCTGAAAAACTGTTAGCTATATCTAACTTGATGTAATACGGCTTATCACGTAGGCTTAAAAAGACTTGGCTATTGCATAGTCATAATGGGAATAGCTGAATAAATTACAAGGGTTAGTTAGTTAGTTAGTGTTCTTTAGAAGAAGGCTTTCTTCTTGTTTCTAATTGTTTAGAAAACATGTAGATATCAGGTTTCCAAATGCATTATTTTGTTGAGCTGCCCTCGCTATGCACACACATTACTCACATATGAATAAGTATTATAAATTTTTGTTGTTGTTGTTTAGGTCTTTAGTTTCAAATGCCGCATTTAGCTCAATGCCAGGAAGTGCGTTCCGCTTTTGACAGACCAGTTACAAATGCTGGCTGGCTGTCTATCTATCTCTGGGCCACTAATTAATGAGCCCGAATGCGAGCTTGAGTTACCTATTAGATGCATCTATCTATTGGTCGGCATGTCTGTCTAGGCAGCTGCCGCTGGCCCGACTCGCTTCACACTTTCAGCTTGGCTTAGCTGATAAGCACCCATAGATGGGACAGACACCGCAGATCTGTGTCTGCGCTGCCGCACAGATAAGCAGCTTGATCAAGATAACGTTGAAATGTATGTCACGTTTGTCGTTTGTTACGGGCTGCATTTGCTCCGTCGGATGTGGGCTGTGTGAAGCGTGAGCGTGCTAATAGATAACTTGGTCGCCGCCTGCTAATTGTACGTGCTCCAAAAGAAATTGATCTCTGCCTATGGATATTAGATATATATATACGCTTATGTGCACCGTATAAAAGTACATATGTCTGTATAGATATTGGCTGGCCACGCTAGAAACCTGATCTCCGGACAACTGCCATGCAACCAGTTTGGCAAGTGGGCGTTCAGTTAGTCAACAACAGGTGGTGGCACCTGTGACTTCGCCTTATAAAGAGCTTCAGCAGTGCCCGTAGACTTACTGGCTGGGGATTTGTGTGCTTCTGTTTCTGGTTCTAAAGCTGTTTTTGCAATCTCCACAATTTTGCATATTTCGTGTACGATTTTGTAATACACATTAACTGATCTAAGCAGGTAGCATCGCGGCTTAGGCTAATATGATAAACATAAATTAGAGATTATTTTAACGTCCGCGACTAGGAAGTAGACGTTTGTGTTATACTCGAAACGGCCAGACTAGAAGCTACCCTTTAAACCTGTATGATTGTCTACATATCATATCATATCAATCTTCATTTTTCTCAAGCTCTCTACCCAAGCAGACGAACTTACAGACATGATGTTCATTCGAATAGTATTGTTTGTTTATACATTAAGTATTTTATATTTATTTTATTGATTTTTAAGTTGACTTGAGTTATGAGTCTCATTAAAATACTCTTCAGCAAAGTCCAACATGGACATATATATGTATATGCATGGCATATGTTCATTATCTGTATGTATATTTTATTTAATTCAATACTGCTTAAGACTATTGTTGTTGTAGTTGCTGTGCTTTATTTGTTGTTGATTGTAGTACGTTTTTTATTTGATTGGTTTTATACTCGCTCACAAAGTGAAGAGTATATTGGTTTTGCAAACCTATTGTATATATACACACGCATACATATACATATGCCCGCGTCAGATAAAGTGTTAAGAAATACCTTTTATAGGTAGAGAGCTCCACAAGAGGCCTATCAATGTAATGTAGCCTGCTTTAAACAGTTGTTGAAGTATTGACGAGTATTACGCAGTCGGTTACACCCGACTGCAACAGCTTGCTTTAGTTTTGCCTTCTTATCATTAGTTCAGTTCAATGCACTTTCGAGTCTTCACTTTGCCTTTCCCTTCACTTATCCAGGGGACAATCGCGTGCACTGCTACCAACTATCGCTTTACTTCCGATTTGTGCCCAACTCCTACATGATTCAGTGCACACACACACACACACACACACACATGCTATGTATCGCTGTTAAACCAGTTTAATCAACAGACGCTGAGTTTGGCTTCGGCGGAAGCGTAGATGATTCAGAAGCGCCTGCCATTCAAAGTGTAACAACAAATGAGGTCTTTATAATTTGAACAACAAAATAGAGCTTTTGATACATACATGGCGCAACAAGTTTTTCATTCACAAAAAACAATAATAATAGTATATTAGTATTGTAAATGGCGCGTAAAACGAACGTGGGAGTTTCTATATGTAAACTTTATAAACGCGTTTAAATCAAACAACAAACACACATATTTACTCAGTTGCATTCACACACACACACACACACATTCGGCTGTGCATGTGCGTGTGGGAGGAAGGGGGAGTTGTATTTTTGAGGTTAAGTGGGACACACTGCGCGTTCCACTTTGGGCTGCTGCCGCTTTTGACACTTTGACTCTGAGGCGTTCAAAGCTTTTGAGTCGAATTGTTGGTTATTTATTATTTCGTTTTTTTGTTTTTTTTGGGCGTTGCTGCAGCCGCAGTTGTTTGCATTTAAATTTGAGCAGTTATACAGCTCTACCGTTAGCTGTTGATATGCGCTTAAGCTTCTGCTTATAGAGCGAGCCAAGTTTGTAGAACGACGCGAATTGATTATGCTGTTAATTTATTAGATTTTCTACTCGCAGCAGCGGCAGCTAACTCGTTTTGTGCTGCTGCTGCCTTTTACAGTTCTTAGCCAGACACTCACACTTGGGCCACCGCCTCGACCACTGCTCAGAGTGAGGGGCAACAAGTCCACAAATTCACCTGTAGCTGTGTAGCGAGTCGTTTAGTTTGTTGTTTTTTTTTATTTCTCTCTCTCCCCCTCTCTTTCTGACTCTTGTGTTCGAATGGCCGCCACTTTAGCACTTTGCTAGCTGCTGCTTCGCCTTCGACTACTACTTGCTGCGCTGTTTACAGCGCTGCACACATGCACACGCACACGCACATGCACACACACTCGCGCACTCTTACAATTTATGTATTTTCTTGTATTACTCGTTTTTAAGCTTATGCTGCTTCATGTTTGGTTTGTTTAGTTGTATGTATGTATGCATGTGTGCTGTTGATGTTGTTGTATGTGCATAAATTAAAAGAGAGAAAAACACACGTCTGTACACAATAAAAACCTGTTTGTTGCTTGACTCTAGGTGTGGGTAAACGCAACACGACGCGGTGCGGGGGCTGGTTCGCTTGAGTTGGCTTGTAGCCGTCCTTTTTTTATGTAGTAAACGCAACAGCAGCCACAATAGCATTGATTTAAAACACTCATTACTCACATAAAATTCACAAATTGTGTTTGCATTTATTTGCGTACGCATGCAGTGCTGTTATTTGTTGCCACTGAACTCACCAAAATTCATAAAAAATGTTCAAATAATTATTAAATTAAGTGAAAAACACGAACTTCAAGAAAGTATACTCTTTACACTACGGCGGCCATTTTGCTTTGGATTGTTTGGTATACGTATAGTGATGGCACTTGTGTCGATAGCATAAACACCGATAGCGATACTATACGCGAGTTGGCATGCCTAAATATTTTATTAAATGTATGGTCTTCCAAATGTTAAACAAGATATCGATAATTCCAGCCCACCACCCCCGCAGAAAAACACCGATAATGAGAAGTGTAAAGTTATTTACATCAAAATGAATCTTTTCAATTAATAAAGTGTAATACACTTAAGCACAAACACTAAAACAACATTACCAAAATGACTACCAAGTAAGTGCATTGAATAATATGTAGAAATAAACACAAGAAACTGCGGTGAATTTTTCGTGCGTGGGTATCTGTATGCAAGTGATTTGCATTTGTGTGTGTGTGTGTGTGTTTGTTTGTGTACCGTGGGTGTATGTGAGGGTATGCAGCCTCAACACGCATACAAACAAACAACATTGTACCAAGAAGAAGCCTACAATAAGTTACTGATAAGAAAACATAAGTGCATGTATGTCATTTTTATTGTAAATAAGAAAGAACTCGTTTAAGCGACAGTTTATAAATAATTTACTTATATTATATTCGAAAAGTACGAATGGGAAATATAGTGCTATACGTTCGGTGCTTGGCTTGGTACTAGATAGAACAATATTGTACCAAAGATTACAAGAAAATGTACCAACTCTGATGAAAGATACCATTTTAATTTTCATTGAATTTACAATGAAACCAGAAAACTTTAATATTCTAAAGATCTTTAAAGCACAATTTTGTGCAGTGTACCTTGGCTTCACATTAGTGGACATTAGTCCAGTTTTGGTACCTATTGGATTGATACTAACTATATTCAAGGGTTTAGCAAACCGCAAACTGTGACAGAAATGTCCAATGGATCCAGGTATACGACATGTGAGCTCTAATGTATCCCAGTATCTGCCCCCAGTTCTGCCTAAGCTAACAGTTGGTTAAGTAAAAATAACTATGGGCACTAATATATGCATGACATCAATAATAATTACTCTCAGATATGCCGAAGATAATTATGTACTTGAAATCGTTGAATAAATCCGGCAGCATTCCCAGGGTTAGATGTCACGTGTCAATATTTCTAAAAAACTGCTTGTAAGCAATTAATTAATAGATTTTACCGAATACCACTTGAGGTCGGGTTAAATTTGACAAGATGAGTAATTCAGCTTTATCTAGCTTTATTCGAATTAATAACACTTCGCTGGGAGGGCTCGTAGCTGTCATTAGGTTTTAATTTGAGATCTGTTCAATTCGTTTTGTTGGCGATTCGAAACTCGTTTTCACAGCGTTTGCTATTTTAAATAAAAGAAGCTGCGACCGAGAACGGCAGTTGCTATCGAGGCATGTGCAAACCCACAGGCCCATAGTTAGACGATGCTCAGAGCGGTGAGTTATCGGAATGTCTTGGCCGAATCGCGATTAATATGTTATATGTGTCCATTGCATATATCCCCAGTGGATTGTGGTGCTATTTGCCAATTTGGTGCTTGGCGAAAGTGGCTCTCAACTGGGAAGCCCTAATGGCCAATATACGTTGAGGTAGGCTTTTATCCAAGGCTCATTCGCATAAGCTTGACCTAATCAATAGACTTGCTTGCACAGCATTCGGCATCCGGATGGCAAAACCTTGCGCGAGGAGACCGTAAAACAGGTTCCACCCGGCGTTCCGGAGGTAAAAGGTACGCTCAATCAGAACTTTGCAGACCAAGGCGTCACTCTGGTGGTCATCTATGAGGCGGGGCCCAATGGATATGTGGCCAAGTATAGCTACAAAAGCGCAGGCAAGCCGGAACAGCCCGTATTTGCAATTTTCCTAAGTCCAGCAGTTCTCAAGTCGTCAGCCGGCTAATTTGTTGCAATTAACTTTTTATCTAATTAATGGAATTAGCTTGGTCATGGGTGATCCTAGGGCTAGGCATGTAACAATTGTATGCATTCTATAGAGTCTATAAATGTTCTCCATTTTGTAGCAGTTTTGTAGCCATCGACAGAAAGAAAGATGTGTCGGAATAGGTCAGATCGGACCACTATATCATACATCTAAAATTTAGCACAACTCTTTTGTCTATCAAAATATTTTATTTTATTTTTCTAAAAGCTTGGAGCTTTTTTACAAAACCAAAAGTTTTTGGTTTGCATTTATAAACAAATTTTGCGAAAAGTGCTCAATTTATTAAATTAAATTGATCTTAATATGACTTAAAACTGCAAATTGTATCGTAATAAACTTTCTTTTCAAAGTTATTTTCGTTTACAGTATTCTCATATTATTAATTTTAGTTTATGTTAGGCATAGCAGGTAACCGGTTTCTTGGACTTCGTTGTATTCTTTGGTTGCTCAAAAGAATTAGCCAAAATATGTGGAGAAAAATTTAATAAATGAGTAAACAGCTTTGATGCTAAATCAAGTTAACTGAACAACAAGTTTTTATTCGTTTTAACTGTTGAGTGCATCATTTTATATTTTAAAGACATTGCATATATTTTCACTTGCCCTTAAAAATAGTACACTTTATAGCTGTATAGACCTAAAAGTATGCTATGATTTTCAAATAGGCACAGTTATGTTTGACACCTTGTATATTATAGTAGCGGGTATACCCACGTTTTGCAAGCTTTGTGTTTGAAAATTTAGACAGAAATCCACCTCTACTTTATATAACTTCAAGTCTATTTGCTAGCATATTTAAAGTCCATCGAAGAAGGAAGAAAAGTAAACCGTTTGCAGAGAAGCTTGAAGCCAAAATATAAACGTTCGTTCTTTAAACTTTTGACCCGCATTTTCCATCCAAGAGTGGTGAATTTTTCGAATTTTTCAAATGCTTTATCCTAGTTGGTCGGAGCTCACCTGACATACTGTTTTTATTCGTTGTTGCAATTCAAGTCAATGATCTAGCATAGCTCCCAACTACTTTGCTTGCGGGGAAACTGCCCAGTTCTGTTTATTCTTAATGAGTCTATCTATTAATTCCTTGTAAAGGCGACAGTCGCTATTATATCCGGATTTATAACTCAGTTCCAACCTCTTGCATCACACTAAATTTACGCGCATTCCTAGAGTCATCTGTCACAACTCGAAACTATGATAATGTCGTCAAGGTGGTTCTGACGCTCCTTGAGCTCGTGAGGTGTTAGCACATTTCGTTAATCCTTGACTTAAAAGCTGATGTCTTACAAATGTCCTAACCATTTTGTCTTAACTGAATCCGCAGTAAATACATCATCTGACTTTGTGTTGAGCGGATTGTGCTAGCTTTTCCCAATTCGGTACTTGTAACACCTGAACACAATTATCCATATATGTTTAAGTACGCCCCTATCCAAGGTTCTGTTTATGCTCTTGACCTAGTCATTTGACTTGACAAATAGCAGACGATCACGCACACCGCAAGCTGCGGCTTTTCTTTATTTCCCCGTTTCCCCGCACAATGGGAAATTCATTCTTGAATAACTTTGGTGTTTATAAAGTCGCTGACTTTTAATGAGTTGCAGAACGACACGTTGTTTACGGACATGTCTAGACATAGTTCGTCTTGGCAGTTGATGCTGAATATATATAAATTATGAGGTCGTATAGTTAAGCCATCTTTTGCCTGTCACACGCATTTGCAAAACTCACCTTTTCACCCACATTCAACAGGTGAAAGGTATAAATATTTATACATATGCATCTAGCTATTCTTAAGGCTTTCGTCATAGAAACTTGCACAGACCCGTCCTTCTGTTGCAGGTAGTACATTTATCAGACTTGGTTGGAATTGAATGGACAACTATATCATATAGCTGTCATATGAATAATCGATCGATAATTAAGTTATTGTATTCAAATCGTTTAGGTTTTTCAAGTTATCTTGACCAAACTCTTCATTTAGGAGTCTTGCGTGCACAAATGTAAACAAGGGAAGGAAGACCCAATCGAATAATAAGATTTTATCTTGACTACACACAATTACGGACTTTCCCTTATATATCTCTATCAATAATAAGCTTTTGTGTAAAGCCATTTCCTAGCCATATTTCTACAAGAGTATTAAATCTTCGGCTAGTTGAAGATACACGTTCTCTCTTGCTAGGTTTTTGTTTAACGTGTGAGACAGAGTTTATTCTCACAGCTTTCAACGATTGGAATCACGATTTCGCAGGTCTTTTAAATATAAGAAGCTGCGACTTAGAATGACAGTTGCTATTGACTAGACTTGGTAACTAGATAATGTTCGGAGCGGTGAGTTAAGAATATCTTTTCCGAATTGTAACTAATATGTGTACACAATGTGTTTGTGCAAAGTCAATTATTGTACTTTTTGCCAATTTGGTGCTTGCGGCACCCGCGACACTCGCCCCGCGCATCGCTGGTGAAAGTGGCTCTCAACTGGGAAGCCCTAATGGTCAATATACGTTGAGGTAGGCTTTTATGCAAGGCTCATTCTCATAAGCTTGACCTAATCAATAGACTTGCTTGCACAGCATTCGGCATCCGGATGGCAAAACCTTGCGCGAGGAGACCGTGAAACAGGTTCCACCCGGTGTCCCGGAGGTAAAAGGTACGCTCATTCAGAATTTTGACGTCGAAGGTGGAACTCTGGTGGTCACCTATGAGGCGGGGCCCAATGGATATGTGGCCAAGTATAAATATACTATCGGACAAGAATTTTCGGCAGCTCCGGCTTTAGGTATTGGACTTCTAAAGTCCCTTCCCGGTTAAATTTGATTTTTATTTGGTGTTTTACTTAATAAATGGCATACGCTCGTGTGCTAATGGATATGGGCTACGTTACAATTATAAACATTTCTAGAATATCGTGATATCACATATCTGCTTAAGCGCCTTTTTGCTAGATGGAGATACTTTATCTTTAAGGGATCCAGTTTGAGGACTGGATGAATTAGATGTTTGTTTTGGGCTGACCTGGCTTTGTGCAGTTTCAAAAGGCGATTGATGCGCCAAAATATTACATCATCATTTCCATTGATAAAAGCTTAAATTTTGTTAAAACTATTTTGCCCTTAATTAAGTAAATGGTTTTTATATATATCCCCAGAAGTATGCTCTTATATTAGGCATGAGAAAATATGCCGCGTACCGACGACGAATATTAAATGCACTTGAGCTTCAATAATAGCATTCTCTCTCTCTCTCTCTCACTCACTCACTCTCGCTCACACTGAAATCAATATCTATATTGTTTCGACGATTGAACTTGAAATCGGGTTATCGTTGTTATCGATAACCGCTGTTTATCGGTCTGTTGAGTGGCATTCAAATTATTGCCGCTTGAATTGACATGCAAACTGATATTAGTTAGAGCGTAAATCAACGGCGTAATAGGCGGCGATTTCACCTCGCGTCACCTTAGCCGCCCCCCGCCCCACCTGTTCGTCTGTTAGTGACAAGCGTGAGCAAAATTTCAAACAATGCTGCGCGGCTGTTTGGCACCTCATATCATGTTTATCAGCCAGCCAGCTGGCAATTCAGTTGAGTTTCTGTGGCACTGCCGTGTTGACTGACTTATCATCCACGTCGTGCGGGAGGCGATAAGCCGCCACGATGCTGCTTTCGACTTGAATTATCCAACAATTGCGAAACTGGACTCTCTTTCTTCTCTTTCTTTTGCCGAAATGTTTAAAGAGTGGCGGAAACCCAATCAGAAACGCTGGCAGCAGCAGCAGCAACAACAACAAAAGCTGCAGCAGCTGCGTCGTCGTATGCTTGACAGGTGCCATTCGCAGTGACTCCCCAACTGTAATAGTAAGATCTATAATGTTCTCAATGGTTTTGCATCCACAGGGAGACGATGATTGTGTTTGTCTACGACACGGAGTGTCTAAAGGACGAGGCAGACGATCCCATTGCCGCGGTGCTCTACTTTCATCCCAGCTGGGTATCGGACACTCAGAAGGTGGCTCTCTGTGGTCAGCTAATGGGCACATCGTATTTCCTCAAGGATTGTTTCTTCAAGCCGCGCATCTTGGCCCTGCAGAATGGCAAATTTGTGCTTAAGGAGTTCGGGCGCTTCACTTTGGTGAGCAGCCTGCTCAAAAGACCCCGTCATAGTTATTGTGATTCGTTTTGTTTGCTTCCATAGGCCGTGGGCACCGATCGCAACATTGCCGATGAGCTGCTGCAGCATCGGGCGAATCTGTTGAGCTCCCTTTTGAGGTTCTTCCATCGTGATTTGCAGTCGCTGCACGATCAGTATGCGCAGACCTCCCAGCAGCACAGCCGGAATCTCAACGAGAAGCTATATCACATATTTGAGACATATCTGCCAATGCTTCAACGCAATGGCAACACATTCCAGAATGTGCCCAAGTTGCGCATGCCCAAGGTGAGTTAATTAAACTGGATTAAAATAATGCTCCAATCGTTTATCACGCTCGACCACAGACCGCCAGTCACATCTACCTGGAGGCCATACAGACGCTGCAAAGCTGTCAGCAAACAAGGGGCATTCTCGGCGGCGCTATACTCTACCACAACAAGTGAGTAGATTGGATTAAGCACCTTAAAAAAAAGCTACTAGTGACTGCCTGCTTCCATTTCAGAGTGGTTGCTTCCCAGCTAGGCGATGTGGTGACCAAGCAGCTGGTGCTGACAGATCCGCGTCATGTACGCACCACGGCTGAGCAGCTGAACATGCAACAGTTTCACATACCACACGGTGTGCAAATGCTGGTGGTGTATGTGGAGCAGCAGCACTATCTCAAGCTGGTGGCGGAGGCGCAGCGTGCCCAGAATATGCAGATGACGACAGCGCAGCTGGGCCAAAGCGCGCTGCCATTTCAATATGCAAAGCGCAAGTTGAAGCGGGACAAGTCGCTAATCTTCACTCATATACCCGAGGAGGAGCAGGCGCCGGCCTCGACCGGCCCGGTGGAGCTGCCGGTGGCGAGACCAAAGTCAATGCGGCCTACCCATCTGCCGCTGCGCCTGAAGAACTTGCACAGCAAGGAGCTACCTGAGTCGGGCATTGCTTCGATCAATTTCGATGAGACAGATTCCTATCCCGAATTCATTGGACGCACCAGCGTCTGTAATACGCCTATGACCGAGAATAAAGTGCTGCCGGTGGCTAACGTTATGTCCATATGCGCCAATCCCGAAGATGAGGACGCCGATGCGCACAACTCAAATGGCAAGGTAGCAACATCGACGGCGTCTTCGTCACGTCGTAATTCGCTCAAGCTGGATGTGGAAAAGTTTTTTTCGAACTTCATCAGCAATCCGAACAAGCAGCTGACGCGTCGCAAGTCCTCCGCTGACTTACAGGACGCACTGCGTGCCATTTCAAAGAAGCTGGGCCACATCACACACGGCTACAAGACAGATGTAAATCGTAATGGCAATGGCAACGCCGACGCCGACGGCAGCATCGATGTGTCTCCCGACTTCATAGGGAGCGATGAGCGTAGAAGCTCGCGCACCATTAGCGATCCCACCTATCCGGTTTTCAATGCCAACGGGCAGCAGATTTCTCGTAGCCTGTTCCAACAATTTCTTGAACAATATCGCAAGCTGTGGGGCGTCGCCAGTGAGCAGGCCGGACAGGATGCAGAGCTGGCAGCGCTCGTTGCCGAGTTTCAGGAGTTCAACCGAGAAATACAAAAGTTAGACGAGCACATGCGACAGCAGGCAGCCTCGGTTGAAGCAGCAGATCGTAATCTAAACATAAAAGCAAAGACGCCGTCAGATAAGCGTGCCATGTGTCTGCCCCTCAAGTCGGCTGGCGAGCCAGGCAATGTGGATCCAACAGTAACTCAGCGTCGTAATGGAGGGAGTGGAGTTCCGCTAACGCCGCTGATGGCTAAGCTCTCTGTGCTCGCGCTCAACGAGGCCACGCCTATTGAGATACAGACCCCCCTGGCTAGCAGCAAGGGGTTTCCGCGTCGCAGCTCGCTTAGATGTGAGGATGCAGTTGATGCGCTGGCAGCGTTCTCCAATGGTCAGCCAGCAGCTGCGTCTGCTCCCATGGATGGACGGCAGCGAACGGAGTTGTATGTGTGCGGGCAACAAAACATGACGCTGCTGTTGCTCATGGAGGAGGGCACCTGCTTTCAGCAGGCCGTTGTCCAGAAGATGGTGAGCTGTCATGTTGATCCACTTAATGTAAATCCTTTTTCAAATCTTTTTCTTTTGGCTTGGCAGTTCGACATTTGCGTGGCAAAATTTCCGCACATGGAATCTCAATTGAATCAAACGCTTAACGTCAATGTGGAAGGCGATAAGCGCGATGGCGGTAACTATAGTTTCATGTGCATCGATGACAAGTGGGATGCACTGCAGCGCAACGGGCCATGGAATCCGCTGGAGCTCAACACACTTGAGAGCATGCACCACGATTTGACGCAGCCGAGCGGCCAGCTTACCGATTTGATACTTCGGTAAGTACTTAGTTTATACATCATATGAATATTAAATTGATTGATTATTTTTACAGCTCACAAGACTCGGTCTTCTATGGCTACAAGTGCGGACGCACAGAGTTCTTCTACAAGGAGCCCACACATCAGATCAATGGCATACCGCCGCCCTCGGATCCCATTGGTAACATTCAGATGCGCGCCAAGTCACGTCTGGAACGTGATCATTCCTACATGCTCATGTAGATTACGGAATAGCCATATGCATACATAGCAAAAAAAAAAAGAATACTCGCATGCTTAGCCAAAAACTCACTGATAATGTCCAGATCTTATATGGGTGCTGTAACTGCAACGCAACCATAAAGCCAATTTAATGCCATCCGTTCTAATTGTAACTTACTTTGCCATCTCAGCCTGTGTTTACACGACTTGGAGAATTTATTGAGTTCCCATGTTAACCGCTTTTATGTGTAAAGGAACGACAAACTATATCAAATTTTAATCTATCTATATGTGCTTGTTACTCTCCTAGAATCTAATAATTGGAGCTCGTGTAAGCACAGCATATTTTAAAAAAAATTTTTGTGTAAACTAGATGCGCAGCTTTTAGCCAAATTTTATCTTATGTACATTTGTTTTCTGCATTGTAAAGTACAATATCCTAAAGTATTTGTTTTTAATTTTTATATTAATACACCCGATTGTTGTTTAATTATAATTGATTTTATGTAATTAGAAAAAGAGCCAAATAGTGAAACGTTTGAACTGGGATAGTTAAGTTGTGATTAGGAATTCAATTTTCAGTAATTTATTTATTATTTGTAATTATTATTTGTAAACTAGTTAATGCGTATAAATATCTTATATACAAATATGAATTTTTGGCCAGGGCAGCAAAGGCTCTGGAACCATCTACTTATAAAGCTATACCCATGTCAACGTGGACTTATTTACAAATTGTTTGAATACTTAGCGCATAGTGCCAATTTAAAAGCCGTCAATGTGTATAAAAATTGCTAAAGTATACTTATATACTTATACTATATACTTTATATGTGTGTATATTTATCAGAATTGCCGCCGAGACAGTTTTAGCAGCACTGTAAAATGCAACTGCAAAGAGGAAATGTGTGCAATATACAAATATTTTGCGAGTTTGTGTTGATTTTAGTCCAAATATGAATTGTATGCAACTAAACAGCATAATTTACAAATATGCAGTATATAATATCAGATCGCGATGAATACACGTGTATTTAAGCATAATTTTTTAAAAATAAAAAGTACCTTATAATAATATTCGCATTTCAGCGTGGATAGTACAACATACTATCCTTGTTTTACTTGTCACACAAATCATCATTTATCACGTGAAAATAGAGTCTGTTGCGTTTTAAAAACTATTTGGCGCTAATTAGTGATGGTGAGTGGTGGGCTTGGAGACGTCATGACATTGCGATTTGTGTATGCCTTAATTCGGTTTCAATTTTACAGCCCAATCCTAGAGGACTGTCGATTAGACTTAAGATTCCGACTCGTGTGCAGCCCGAGGTAGTGCCGCCGCCGGGCAGGGCTGGCGAATATACCAACAAGATACATCACATGAATAAGTATCTGCTGGAAGAATTGTGTCAACAGGAGTTCGCTCTGCCTTTCATGGAGCCCGTGGACACAAAGGCACTTAATGTTCCCACCTACTATACCATAATCGAACACCCAATGGATGTGGGCACCATTATCATGCGGGTGGAGAATAGATACTATCGAAGTGTCCATGAACTTATTAACGATGTCAGGCTGGTAATAAGGAACTGCTTCACATTCAACATGCCAGAGGCGACTGTCTATCGCGATGGGCAGAAGTTGGAAAAGCTCTTTCTCAAGGTGCTGGAAAAACTGCCAACGGGAGAGGAGGTACCCTACGACAAGGACAAAGCCGAAAAGTCAATAATGAAGCGTCAATGTCGATATAGGTTAAGAAAGCTACAGGAACACACCGATCAGATGGAACAGGATGGCCAGGAATTGTTCCGCGAGAAGTGGATGCCCTTTGCCGAAGAGATGCACAAGCGTAACATTAAAACGCTGGAGGATTTTGATAGCCACCTGGACAACATTCTGAAGCACTGCCACGATCATGGGAAGCGCATCCTGGAGTCCTATGAACATGAAGCCAACCGGCTAATAGAAGATGAGGAAAGCGGAGACAATGAGAATGTAAGTGATGAGACCGGGAGCAATATGTGGCCATGCCACAAGCCCCTGTTTGACTGGGAAGACACCATCATCGATGCCCTCGATGATACGATCATTTGCCTAAAGCAGGACGTGGTCAAATGTCGTCTGGGTGAGCATAAGAAGAATAAGCAATCCTACAGTGAGATCCTTCTGCCTATATTTGTCAACGCTCAGATAATCAGCGAAGGTCTGTGCTCGCAAACGAATCTGCCCGACTCCTCCGATGAGGAGGAAACCGAATGGCATCCGAATCGCGTCAGCGATAAGGAACGTCATGCCATACGGCAACAGTTCAGCGGTCTTATCCCAGAAGCCATATTCGATATAATGCACATCATTGAGCAGGCCGAATACCGCACCGCGAGCAACGCCGACCGTAAATACAACATGATGTACTTTAGTCCCCAGACGATAGTCCTCATAAAGAAGGCCATTGAAGCGCAAAATAAGGCCAGCCTGAAGCACGAAGAGGAACAGCAAGACGTGGAAATGCACGGCGAGCAGCACGATGCGGGAGAGCTGGATAATATCAGAGATCAGAATTTCTATTATACAAAAACAAGCACAGATTTCGTAGGAAACAACAACGATATAGGGGAATACAAAGAGCAGTATGTCGGTGGCTACTGTTTGGAGCAGCATCAGGAGGCAATACCAATATATTACCCTTCCTTGCCAGAGGCTGACCAGCAAAAGATGGATGAAAATATAATGCAGGTCCTAGCCGATTCTAGGGGCGGCATGGAGTGGGAGGTGTTGAGCGACTCCGATGCCGATGAGAACGACTGTAAAGACAATGCGAACAACTGCTGTGATGACAATGAAAACGACTGTGATGACAATGAGAGCTACGACTGCGACTCTAATGAAAATGACGATTATTGCTCCAACGAGAATGAGGGTGATGATGATGAAAATAACTACTGTGGCACCAATGAGAACGAAGACTGTGACTCCAATGAGAACGACGACTGTGATTCAAATGAGAACGACGACTGTGACTCCAATGAGAACGATGAATGTGACTCTAATGATAATGATGAATGTGACTCAAATGAGAACGACGACGGCTACTCCAATGAAAATAACGGCTGTGACTCCAATGAGAACGATGAATGTGACTCCAATGAGAACGATGAATGTGACTCCAATGAGAACGATGACTGTGATTCCGATATTAACAACGACTGTGACCCCAATGAGAACGACTTTTCCTCCGACAGTGAAATTGATGGCCAGCAATCAAACGAAGCATATGCACAATATAATAATGTTACGCACAGCTATTATCAAGGTCTCTGATAAGAGTATCAAATTCAAAATACAAGTTTTTTTTTACGAATTGCAGAATTCCTAAAATAATTTTACCAACGGAGAAACATTAAACACATAGTATATCGAAAAATGATTGATTTATTTCGCTTTCATTTGAAATTTTTTTCAGAGTTTTTTGTTTTCTTAAAGTTTAACTTCTCTAATGCTTCTGCATTTTTGTTCTTATCAAAATACTTTTTTGTTTTACTTCAAATAATGGTGTCGGTCATGCACAAAGAGCTTATATAATTTATAATTAAAAATTTAAACTTATGGTACCACAATGAAATAATTCTCAAGCGTTTTTTTGTCAATCTATGCGTATTCTACGTCTGCTTATCTTGTGAACGAAACTAATTATAAATTTAAGCATATTTGATAAATCACACAACAATCTTTGCTGCACTTTGCACTCTCACTAACTTCGTTGTAGGCGGCTAAAAACTATATGGATTATAGCTATTTATATATGTAAGTAAATATATAATATATATATATATATATATATATATATATATATATATATATATAGGTATGGGTGTAGTATGATTAACATTCTTGCGTTTCTTCATTTAGCACATTTGACTACAAAGCTTAGTAATTAACCCGTTGCTGCCGTTGATTATTCTCCAACTCTGATCAACTATGCCACAATATGACTATTTTTGTTCAGATCAGTAAGTAACTCGGCGTTCAAATCCTCCCCCTCCAGCAAGTCGCCATTGAGCGAATGTGGTATGCTAGTGGAAAGCACCATGCCACGTCCACCTCCACCGCTGCTTGTGCCAATAGATATATCATCCGGTGGCGAATTACGACGACGCTCGCGTTCTCTAACAATATGTGGCGCCTCGTTAAACTCGTCTAGCTCATCCATGCCTAGCACGAAAGAAGAATTAGAGATATAAGAGATGTTCACTTTAGGGACAAATCTAACGGATTGACTTACCCGCATACTTGGTGCCCGCCAGCAGGAGATACTGTCCGGCACGATTGGGCCATAGTAGTCCGGTCATTACACAGTAGGCCATGCAGTCGGCCGAGTTTGTGATGCCCTGCAGCAGCTTGTAGCGCCACATGGGACTCACCTGTAACGCCACAATAGCTACAATGGGCAAGTAGATGAACCACACCAAACTGGATGCACCCAAATGCAAAAGAAAGTCCAGCTTCTTGCTGGAGTGCTCATACTTCATTGTATTACGTAGCTCGTACAGAAACCACATCATAAACGAAGTGCTGTTCCAGAGAAGTGAAAATTAAATTGGTGATAAATAAAATAGTGGATGTACATACCGCAGTATTAGAACAATCCAGCCTGGCCAGCTCTGGTATTCATCGCTATCCGATATAATATCCACCTCCGTCTGAAAAAATTAAAAAAATATTATGTTTAACATGTGCTTTCAGGAATATGGATACGTATGGGCAGTTCGCATATAGCAATATTTTGTTGCTTTCCCCTTAACTTACCCGATCCCATATGTACAGAAATACATGGAACGCACAGTATGGCACCCAAATTGACATCAATATGATCCAGCCGGTGCGGCTAATTTGCTGTCGCGTCACCGCCCAGCCCTTGGCTAGCAGCAGGAGAATCAGCATGAATGTCGTGCGACTCAGTATGTCCAAAACATCGCCGGCAGCCTGCATGTTGGGCTCACCGACACCGTTGGCTGCATATCGAATTAGATGCGCCGTGATGAGCGCCAGGCTCACAAACTCACTGAGCAGGCTGAGCGTAAAAAGTCTGGTCACTGGATGCTTTTGAAGACGCACCGCATAGATTTGCATCGGCAGCAGTACAATGTAGACGAGCATAAATATGAGATACATTTCCAGCAGATTCTGCTGATCGTACGGGTACTGAAAGGTCAGCGGATGCGCGGCCGAATCATTCGGATGCACATTCACCAAGTTGATGTCATACTGCAGGGTGGTCAGCAGGCTGCTGCTGGAATTGTTCAGCTTGGCCAGATTCTCGTGGGCATGCCACTCGCAGGTACTGCGATTGCGATAACAGGCCACCAAGGCCACATACCAGAAGCTACAGAGACAAACAGAAGGTGGTATTAGAAATGCTTACAAGAGCACTGAGTTGGGATTATAATAATATCCGTAATTAAGCGTTACAATAACATTTCACAAAACATAAACAAATAACACTGTCTGTGCTTTATGTGGAAATATAAACAAAAGAACATATGGAAAAGCGAAATCGAAGACCCAAGTCGCCCATTGTCATGAATAGCGAACGGTTAAATCAGTAAAATTACGGACATGTCTACAATGGCTGTGTAGCTGGCGGCAGCTTATCAGCCAATTGATAACAACAGATATCTACTGTTCGGCTACTTACCGCGGCTCCGCCTCCAGGTCTATGACATAGGTGAACTGATGTCCGGCTATGACATTTGATGGAGCATCTTCGTCGACGCACAGCTGGCCTCGGGAGCAAGGTACACGGCGCAGAAAGTCACGCTTGCCCTGGGGATTGCAGTCCGGATCGTAGACGATATGTTGCAGGCGTGAGAACATGCGCGAGCAGGCGCGCTCCCTGTTGCGATAGTTCCGATTGCTATAAAAGTCCACAAATGTCGACTTGTCCAGGACAACGAGCGTAACGGGCGCGCTGTATGTGTCCGGTGACGTCACATTGCCGTATATATAGCCATAGGATACGGCACTACGCGGCGTGGGAGGATCGGCTTTCTGAAAGCCGAACTTGATGAGGAACTGAAAAAAGTCGGCTGTGTGAAATTCGCCGCTGATGTGAGTCGATGATGCCGCCGGTGATTGCAGAGCGAGCATCACCAATAGCAGCAGCCATTGAATACTGTGGGAGGCAGGGGTTGATGGTGGTTGAGTTGATAATGATGCTGCGTACATTGCAGACCTTATCACTAGATTTGTTGCTCTGCTGCCAGCGCCGCTACTTTGTGTTGCTTTTTCTGTAGCTGCTGTCGTGGCAGCTAAATTGCAAATACAATGCCAAGGTGGCGCACTTTTGTGCATTCTGTGCGAATTTGTTAGTTATTTTTGTTTGTGGAAACTTCCACCTTGCTCACTTTTGCTCTGCTCTTCGTCTGCTTCTTCTTCTTGCCCAGTTGTTTTCCAAGGTGGGCAGCACTAGTGTATGATGTGGGCACCCAGCAAATTTAACATTTCCTGCAATGTTAATAGCAGCGCACAATAAATTCGTTTCGGATGAGCTGCCGTTTTTCTTTATTTTGCAAAGAATTAAATTTGTATTTGGCTAATGCAGTTTGTTGAAAAATTACTAAAATACTGATTTATGTAAAAAAAGTCTATCTAGAAGGCTACGAGTTGACTAAACGAATCAAAGTAACAGTAATAGTAACAGCCATAACAGAGGGCCTTTCACTTAGTGTGACCATAAGAGGGTAAAGTACAAATACAATTTTCAAACAACGATACTGTTAATATCAGTTGGCTTTGTTACCACCATTTTTGAAATGGTTGGTGAATAATGGTTGTGCATGTTTGACCATAGATGGCGCTTTGTGACTGGTGAATTGCAATTTAAAATTTAATCCCAAAGTCGAACGTATAAGGATTTGAAATTTTAGTTTGGTAACCTTTTCAGTGTTTTTTAAATATTCATTTTACCGTAATATGCAATAATTAAACAAAAAACTCAGGGCGCGGTACATAATCTTCTTTCTCCTAACTCCCTTTTCTTTGAGTTTATTAATTTGAAAATTTACAGCACGGCCATCATAACATTTTGTGAGTGAATAATTTTTAAGCTGGCGATAGATGGCGCTTTGTGACTGGTAAAATGGCAGTTCAAAACTTTATCCCAAAATCAAACGCCTAAGGATATGAAACTCCTGAGTTTCTCAAAATTTGCATTTTCTTAATATATATTCTGCCGTAATATGCGATTATCAAACAATAAAGGTCATCAGCAGAGTGAAGTATTGCACCCTCTTGAATGGCCGCATTAACCACAGACACACACTCTACTTCCTCTACCCCCCTTTGAGCACGCAATTCAACAATAAATTTCAATAATTCCAAAATTTATGCGGAAAAGAATGATGCTACCCTTTGGCGCTTTTGCAATGCCAACTTCAAAGTCTGCAGTGTCCGGAATTATGTACGTTCACACCCCTCCCGCACTGGCCAATAAACGGGGCATCCCCCTATTCATAAATATACGTGCATATGTATAATGCATGCGTCGGTGGCGACAATCCCCACATGGATTGCGGTTGCCATTGATGCTACGGAAGTTGTGCCAAGGTGCAAAAGAGCTTTGCACGCTGGTAATTCCTTTGAGCTTTGATTGTTGCGAAGGGGGGAGTGAAAGGGCAAAGTACGGTTTGATTTTTCTCCTTTTTTTCACTTTTGAATGAATGAAAAAAATATTAAAATCTGTTCTACTTGCCGATTCTTTTGCATGCTATTGAAATATAGAATTTCTATTGTGATTTCATGCTGTTCGGCTTAAGGGTTGGTTGAAGTTGGATTTTGGGTGTGGGACATCATCAATCGTTGAGTAGTGTTTGTTCTTGCTCTTACTTGTACGTGCCGCTGCCCCCAAAGTGACCTAAATACTGGAGTCCTTTGCTCATCTCAAATTCATTATCGATGACATGGCAGAAATTCATGGGAAAAGTTAACTAGCAATCGCTTTGTTGACAGTTACAGTTAGAGTTCACTCATATGTGCAAAATATGTAACAACAAAAGTCAGGACAAGTGTTTGGAATATGATCGAGGGCAGTTTATCGAGTTTCCCGCTTGAGAGCTGGCATTTGCTATGAACGCATCGAATGACCCGGCATGACCTAATACAAAACAAAGAATTCAAACAACAAATATTAAATACAAAATGCGATGTGGTTGTTGTTGTTGTTGTTGTCGAACAGTTTCCCAAATAGAAAACGGCAAGGTTTGCAAAAATATAAAAACACGCCTAATTTGTAGACGAATTTCATTGAAGGAATGGACAATCGCAGACTACAGACGACAGACCCGCTGCCAGACATCCACAGTTCATTGAAATGCCAGGCGACGAGCATCCTTACGTAGACAATGAATGTTCGGGTCAGCACCCCAGCCAGAAGGGGGGTTGAAGGATATGCCTTGCCTCAGATGATATTTGCAGCCATTGCGAAAATCTATTTTATTATTGATTAGGCGCAGTTTTATGTTGGGTAAATAAAAGTAGTTTTATTTGTAATAGAACAATGTCTTACAAATTATGTATCTGTTTGTGTTCCGTCAAGTTTAATTGCAAAACATGCGACGCACCAAACGTGCCGTAAAATAGTAGATGATTTCCGTAAAGCTCAATGCGCTGCAGCCTAGAAAAAAGCCAACCAGGCCGCCAATATAAACTGTGGATAGAACTCTTAGGACGTTAAAGAATAGTTGCCAAACAAGAATATCATATATACAAGAAAACTTACCCAAGACATCGGCGAAGGAGAAAAGTACATCCCGGCGCAGCTGCATTTTCGGGTAATCAATAATGCCCCATTGAAGATTAGCGCCCAGGAACCAGACGCGGGACCTCTGGCAAAGCGAAGCAACGGGAGAAGGGAGAGAGAGAGAGACAGAGAGGGTAGCATGTTAGAGGGGGAGCAATTGAAATAGCAACAAGAGCAGCAGCTACAACAACATCAGCATAACAAGTCAAGTAAGCTAAAATTATTATTAAATGTAAAAACTTTCGGCGTACACTGTGCGAAAAAAAAGTTAAACAAAACTTTTCGCTCGTTGCGGAGTTTACAGTTGCCGAATCGGGCCTGAACAGAAATAATTGCATATTTCAAGGCGCTCGCTGCCAAACAACTTTTGCGCTTATTATTTTTTACGGCCCCGGTCAACAATTTCAATGTTTGTTCAAGGCAAAACGCGCGCGACTTCAGTCTAAGAACTCCTCACGCACGAGTCCTTTTCCCACACTTGAACCGCGTCGGGCATCTTTAACGAGCGCTAGATGGCGCTTGCGTTGTAAACATTTTCAAAGCACATTCAAAAATTCCAAAACTACCCTATATCCTTGAAGTGCTCGAAATGGGTATAGTTAAGTCTGTGATCAACTATATTCTATTTAATGTTATAGTATATAGGAAGATCTCACCAAACAGAGATCTTTTTACATTATGTCTATTACTAGCCATATAAATATTCAAAAATAAATCTGATTTTTAAGTACTTGATTTGTTTGTGCTTTGATAAATTTACCATGTAGATTTTTGGGAAAAGTATTTTGCTATTGCTTTTGTGTCTATATCATGATTCTTCATTTTACTTCTTATAAAGTCAATAGATCTTGAAAATCTGAAAAAAAGTTCACTTTTAAAATGTGAAAAAAGTTAATGTAGTATAAGGTATTATTTAAGCGCTATTAAACATGGCATATATACGCTTTTGAATGTATTGGGTGAAATATTCTTTTTCAACAAACGGAATAGAGGAATATTATTTGTGAAAACTTATGCATGTTCATTTCCAATTCAGACTTGCCTGAAATCCTTTTTGTTTGTGAAATAGGGTATCTTTCGAGGAGTTTCTTGAGTTTTTGCTTATACCACATACTTTTATTGCTACGATTGTTATACTTACATAAGACTGCACAAAAAAGTTGGAATCATCACAGTTGGACAAACAATTGCAATGGATTTTGTATCTATCGGATTTTAAGGAGATTATTTCGCCTGTTTTGTGGCAGTATAAATAAAATTTAGAAATGATTAGCTGTGTTAATATTAAACGATATTTTTGCCAAATATGTAAGTGACTGTTTAAAATATTTAATCCCCTGCTCATGCTGCGACTTGAAGCGTTTACTGACCAGCAAAAACAAAAGAAAACTAAAATATGGTCACGTTCAGCGGTAAATGGTAAAATATTTGGTAATGAAATTTTTCATAAATTCAAAACGAATTTTGAGGCAGTGCAAATATTTGCATGTGCGCCCCGCCAGAAACCTATCAAAAAATGCTCACGTTTAATTTTGACCAGGCAACCGATGCCCTCCAAGCCGCAAACCGGCAACCGACGACCATTGCGCACTGAAAGAGACAGAATGAGTTATTGTTGGCGGGCAGAGAGAGAGAGAGAGAGTGTGTGTGTGAGAGAGAGAGAGCGAGTCAGAGTCGTGAAACTTGAAGTGGAACTATTTAAACATTTTATGAGCAAATTTTCGACGCAAAATGCACGATAACGACGTCAGCGTCGACACATAAAAGTTAAACTTAATGGGACCAATTAAGTGCAACTATGTGAGCGAGAACGAGAACAGGCACACGACTGAGTATGCGGATGCGGATGAGGATGAGCACGATGACAAGGATGAGCAATGATGATGACAAGCCCGAAATATGATTACAATTGGCCGCTGACAGTAGACAAAACGATGTTCACTTTTGAAATCCAGTTTAATACTTACGCCGGTTGCGATAAAAGTGCGGAACGCAGCCGCAAACGCGCAGGGCAAAGAACATGCGACACTCGGAGAGGCACAACCCAAAGCTGTAAATGGGCACCGTTTGCATCTCCTCGGCCTCGTACTGATAGCGACACTTGCGCTGTTTGGTATTAAACCTGTCACAAATCCGTATGCAAAATAAAATCAAGGAAGAACGCCTTCATTCGGCACGCCGAAGATTGAATACCCTTGTAGACAAGTTACTCAAAAATACTTCTAAAGAAAAGCTAGATTTTCGTTCGTTTTTGAAGAATCTACCATTCGATCGATGGTAGATATATAATATTCCAGCATAAGTTCTGCTTTCCACAAAGAGACGGATCCATGCAAAGTCTTAAGACTTAGAAGTGCCTTTAATGGAAACAGACGGATAGATACGTATACACAATATCAGTATAGGGTCGGGGACGTCTCTGCCTACATTTCGCAAAAAAGTAATTTTCTACAAGGGCCTTCATTTATTATATTTACATAAAATCTATATTATGCTCACGCTCTAGCTTCCTCATTTGTATAGATCTCCAGCGCGATCAGCTCCACAGTCGTATAGTCGGTTTCGGGAAAGGTGTAGCGCTGCTTGGATATGTTGGGTACATCGCCTGCGCTGTGAAAGTAAACATCATAGGCCGTTGATAGATTGATGATCTGGGCATAGATTTCGCCATCGAGAGGATGCACTGTGACACGATCACCATGATCCAGGATGCTCCAATCGCCAGAGCGCCAGTAGCTTCAAGTATTTACCATAGGTTTATAAAGCAATATGAATAGCTGTTTTGTGCAACTCACCCAAAGGAATTGTAGCGTGCCACAAGTGAGTTTACCGAGTGGCAAGTGCCAAACTCTGTCTGCGTTTCGTAGATGAACATTTTGACGGCAGCGCCGCTGCTGATTTCCGGCTCGAAAGACCATTTCAATTCGTAAAGTAAATCCAAGTATTGGTTGCTGTCGATGCCATATGACTTGTTTAGTGGCAGAGTTTCCAAGTTGTCGTATGTAAGACTTGCAAGTTTGACAATAAAGTCCCGGAAATACTCCTTATCCTCCTCATTTTCGAATTGTTCACTATGCGCTCTGTGATGCATATCAAAAATAAAGATTGAATATCTTTAACATTGAGACTGCATTTCTCGGCAGCCCATTGTTACTGACAAATACTAATGCTAATCATGATAATGATAATGATAGTGCTACTGCTAATGCTAATGCTTAGGCTAATAGTAATAATAATGCTATTATTAATAATGCTATTATTTAGAGTAATTTTTTCTTACAGTATATAATCTTCCAATTTGATATCATCGATGCGCTTATGGGGACACACGGTCAGCGATGGGAAACTGGTATTCCACACTAACTTATTGCGATCCATTGAAATGACCATGGGCGAGGTCTGGAAACGTTGCCAAGTGCGTTGGCTCAGCGAGATGATACTGAACAGTGCCACGCAGATGAACGCAAACCAAAGCATGCTAAAAAATACGGAAATGATATATGGGATACAATAATTTCTTCTTTTTTTTTTTGCGTGCCAACGCACATAAAAATCTATTGCGTGTAAATTGTTGTAAGCATCAGTCGAAATATGCGCGACAGAAGAATTATGGCCAAGTTGGGAAAGAGTCAATGAACGGCAGGCGACGCTGGCAGTGCAACCCCTTTTTATTTTATTTGGTGCAAGTGCGACGACAGCCAAAATGGACGCATCACTGCGGCAACACTCTTCCAAACACACACACACACACAGACTCACACACGCAGAGACCGAGTAGCCATAACAAGTCTGACAAAAGCCGGCAAATCCTCGAAGAATCTGCCTTCGCAAGTGCCGCACCGCACAATGATGACATTTTGACGCCAGCAATGGCTCATAAAGCCTTCAGCACTGTCAACACATAGACACACACACACACACGCACATGCACACATTGAGATAGAGATGTGGGCACTTCATTGCTGTAACAGCTACTTGGCTTTTAATTTTCAAACATTTCGCTACGAAAGTGCTCAGCACTTTCCGCTTCTGCACCGAATTAATTCTTATTTCCAATTGTCCCTGCTCCATTTGAGCAGCTACTTTTGGGAGCTCTTTCTAGCTTGTGCCTAACAAAATAGTTGAAAGAGTATTTAAAATACTAGCAAATATGAAAATACATTTATTTAGTATTTCGCTTAAAGTAGTTCTTGGATTCTTCAGATATTTCATATCGCTAATCAGATCTGTTTATTTTCGAAGAACTACAAGGGTATAGGAAAGGATAAAATATTACAAATTTTTGGATTATAGGATATCTACTAGTTCAGCACACTGAATATGAGCATTTTTAAATATACGATTTGTTTTTATGGCGAAACTGGGAATTTTTGTTGCTGCTGTCTGCCGGCTAAAATTCTTTGGACATCATACATACAGATATGTCTGCCTCATCTGTCTGCCTGTCTGACAGCCAGTCAGACAGACATTTGCTTTGTTTCATCATCTTTTCGCACTCATATGAATAAAACTTGTGCGTGAATGAAGCTCAGTGATGCATGTGAATGTTCTAATAATTGGTATGCATGCCTGAGAGTGAATGCTTGTCTTTAAAGCTAATACTTGGTATTAAAAACGTTAGCCTTTGACCTCGGTTTTTAATGTCTGTTTGAAGAGGTTTAATTATTGTTTTTGTAAGCCGCTTACACGTCGCTCTTTAATATTTAATGCACGTCTTCCCGCTGCTGTTAAAGTTCATCACACTCATGGGTTTCTGCGTCTCTTTAAGCCCCATTCGAATCAAACGCAACCCATAACCCATAACTGGTTGCATCTCCACATTCGCATTCCTCTCCAAAAGCATCTGCATTGCACATGCATTTGCGTGTTTGGCATTTGTGTAGTTCGAGTTCGAGCTCTGATTCCGGCTCTGGATTATGCAGTCGTGCACTCGTGGCTCCCTTACCACCGCACACTCCGCTGACCCGCAGTTGCTACGGCAACGCTTTCGGAATTGAGGTTATCACATGTCAGCGACACAGACTCTAGAGATTTATGCATATTTCACCTGAAATATTTTTACTGGAAAACTTAAGCCGGCTCAAGGTTGTGTGAAACAAATATATTGTGCGTTGCACGCAGATTTTAATGAGAGAGTTTACTATCTACATGCGTACTGCATTAAAAACAGTATTTATTTCAACCCCATTAATCCCCACATATTCCTGATCAATCTTTAGACTATTTGTTTTTATGTTATGCACTCTGTTTAGAAAAAAAGACAGCTAACTTAGAAGAGATTGTGCTCTTCTAAATTTAGAAGGTTCATCCCGGCTTTTGTCGGGTTAGGGCTATTCTTTTGAATTAAATAAATAACAACCATTTCCGTTTATGTCAAATTCAAATTGACCCAATAGTTGGATTGGATATTTTAGAATAGCTTTGTACTCAACACTATGGAACTTCTGTGAGATAATGCAGAGCTTTGAAATTGAACTTGAAGTGGGAAAATATTCTTTAACCCTCCACATTCACTCAGGGGCAGGATTTTTGCCGACAATAGTATAAATAAATTTTTAATTTTCTTATTATCATTAGACCTATTACTGTAATTGGTATTATGCCTTCGGGCTAATCAGGCACAACTCACATCTCCTTAAAGGGCGGAAGTGCATATCCTCCAAATAATAACTGGGTAGTTTAGACTACACCTATACCGAGCAACGTTTTTGTATGTTGCAATATTTAATTACCTTCGTACTGCACATTCTTAAAGATATTTTAGCTTAAGACTTTTAAAAACCCTGAAATAAAAGCAACATATTATTAACATCAGAGTACTAAATCAGATTGCTCCAATGGGAACAATTGGTTGGCAATTCATTTCTGCCTGAATGCTTTGATGCATGGCTAGAAATATATAATGTAAGTTAGTTTAGCTATATATCTATTAGAGCTTTTAAGCTTTAAGTTTAAGTAAACTTCGAGGGAACCTCCGCCAGGGAGCGGAAAAATCGCGAAAATCTTTAACTTACAGCCAATCAATCGCAAATATCAATCATTTTAAGCCAAAGTTTGCTGCTTAGAATCTTATAGTAGTTACTCATGCAATCCATAAATTTTTCGACTTGTATTAAGCTTGTTCTTACACAGAACAGAGTATCGCTTAGTTGGTCGTACCCGACTGCAACGCTCTTGCGGCGAACGCAAATAAATCAATGTGAAGTGCAGAAATAAAAATGGACATGAATCATTTAGCTCTGGCCGGGGTAGTGTATTAATTACAGACGAACTTCGCGTGCCTCACCTGCCCCGCCTAAGCTTGCGACAGGGAACACCTGTCACTTCCATAGGAAAACTAACAAAATTTGTAATGGTGCTTGCAATGGATCTGGGGCTAAAGCCTGGCGTGCCGGGCTATGTTATCCACTAATTAACCCTCGGCTGCTGGTTGCTTGTGGTCCATTTTTGTTATGCTGACATTTCCCACATGCCCCGGTCGGTCTGTCAGCCGCCCCACTTGGAATGGAGTGTGTTACCAATTTAAGCCTTGCCAGACATTCCGTGTAATCCTGTTTGTCATGTCATGTCAGTTTTCAGGATTTATTGCGTTGCCGCTTTACTCGCACCAAATACAAATTCCAGCAGCAAAAATATTAGTTCCCCCCAAAAGAGATGTAGAAAAATTTGCTGTTCATGTTCTAATTTTATTCAGGCGAGTGGGCAAACCCGTCGGTGAGTTCTTATATGGACACGCACTTCCCCTTGGTCCTTGGCATATGGCAGCCAGATCGGGCTTATAATCGCAATGTTTGGCTTTGGGCAGCACGTGCACGTGTTTTAGAACATTTTAAATCCTTGACTTATAGTTTTGTTTTGTTAAGTTTCGGGCACTTTCTGGCCCGGAAATCGAAAGCCAATGCGAAACCAAAGCGAATGAAAGCTAGGACGAAAGTTTTAGTTGAGATTTCAGTTTTTGAGCCGTAATGAGGCTTAAGTTTAATTTCGTTCGGAAATTAATTGGATGAGAGAACGAAAAGTATAACCAAACGGAAAGGCAGAGTTTGATTGTGGGTATAATTAAAAAAGTTTAAAAGTTCGTTTGATTCTAACTAGAGATGATGATGATGATGCTATGTTTAAAATTTAAAAAAATGTTAAATGTTTTTAATATTTAGTTCTATTAGGTAATAGTATTATCTATATTGTATCAACAGAATGCTATTAAACTCATGTTGAGTCATACACATTTCCATAGATTCAAACAAGACCAAAACCTTCCCTTAACTCGAATACAAAACCAACAAAGGCCGCGATTGATGCTGCATTGCGTCAAACGCAGCTGGAGACTCTGATGATTCAGTCGCTACTATGTGGGCACATCCGTAAGCAACAGGACTCTCGGAAGAACAAAAACTTACCGTTCAACAAAATTTAAGCCGAATTTGGCCAAATAGATAAATCCATGTATGGAGGAGCCCTGCAGAAATTCGATTATGAATGCTTGCAGCTTGGCCAGACAGGCAAATCGGCCTGTCTCCAGCTCGTTCTCTGCCAGCGCCTCCTGACGCAGCTCCTCGGCCTTTATCTGCCTAGTCGGTGGTGGCTGCCACAGCGGCGGTCGCCGAAAGCTGCGCACGCTGCACGGCTTTCGGCGATTAGGGTCAACGTGCTCATCATTAGCATTTACAGTTGTTGTTTTTGGTTTTGGGCATTTTAGTACCAGATTTTGATTGTGCCTTTGAGCAGTGCCGGGAAAGAGCAACAGACCAGGTCCGGCTCTACTGTCCGAGCCAATTGGTGTGCCCATTGAGTATGGTTGCTTCAGCGATACGGTCGATGCTGTTCGCGATTCGGCGCTGCCTTCCCAGCTTTCCATAGAAGCCGTCACGCTATTGCTCTCGTCGTGCTGCATACTCATAGGAATCACTGAAATTGTAGCAAACGAATCATTTGAATGAATTGAATATCGATGAGGTCGTCCTGTATCATTTATTGTAGTTCATTACAATACAGCTAATATGTGCAAAAATCTAAGAATTATAAACAACATAAGAATGGTAGAAAATCGAATTAAATAAAACTTTTTTAAGGTTTCCCGGGCTTTTGTATTTACTTATAGTTTATCACTATTATATATTCTATTATTATTATTATTATTATTATTTTTATATTTTATTAGTATTATTATTATTATTACTATTATTATTGTTATTGTTATTATTATTATTATTATTATTATTATTATTATTATTATTATTATTATTATTATTATTATTATTATTATTACTTTTATTATGGTGTGGGTAATTCAGATAAAGCGCTTATTATATGCTGCAGCCTTTAATATTGTGTATGTATGGCTACTTTTTCATTAAGCATAAATACGTCGTTTTAAATATGTTTTCGTGGTGCAACTACAACAATAAATCATTATTGCGTTTTTTAATGCGATGTGAATTATGCCGCTGCATATGTATGTGTTTCTGCTTACGTGTGTGCGCGCAAGTATAAGTGCATTTAATATAAAGCCATCAAAATGGCATTCAATATGTAGCCCGATGAAAGCAGTGAAGCCTGCAGGACATATGGCATAAACCTCAGTGGACAACTCCCGTCACAAATGAGGCATTAAAGTTGCGCTTAATTTGGTTAAGATTACATTTACTCGGCAGCATCAACATCATCAGCATCATCAATGGAGCCGAGATTCAATGGGTTGAGCTTTAAATACATCATAATAATACGGTAATTGGATACAATATGGTAAAGAAGCACAGCCAAACAGCATTAATAGAGTAGCCCATAATATTTTTTTAATAAAATTGTATATAAAAAAGTTTTGAGTGCTACGTCAACTTTCAGACTATAAAATAGTTTCGCATTGAATTCTCTCTATTGCTTAACGGACCTGAAAACCAATAAGTACTTTGATTTGCATATTGTTCATAGTGCCACACTCTAACCTGCATTTGCAGGAATTGGAAAGATGGCTGAAGCCGACTACAGGCTGTATTTGTGCAGCAACTGTTGCCGCCGCTGCTTTTGGAACGAGCTGTCCCCGCAGGAGCATCGCTGCACCCGCTGCCGCCTGCCGCTCCAGGGCTGCGCCATCTGTGACCGCAAATTCGAGCCACGTGACCGCACTGAGCTCTATTGCAAGCGATGTGACTTTCATCTGGTGAAACACGTATCTGCCACACCGCCGCCAGTCTTAGAACTGGATCTGGAGCTGGACATGGAGCCGGAATTGTTTGGACCACCGCGCGACCGTACCATGGCTCAGCGCTGGAAGGAGATCAAGTCGGCAACCGGCATTGAAGATGGTTATTTTATTGATTGAAGTGCTGAGTAAAACAATTCACAAATATTGTCCAGACTCAGCTGTGTAATCTGTCCAACCTCTGCTCCATTTGGTGGTCTACATGTGACCAAATGGTAGCATTACGTTTTTTTTACAACAAACCAACTCATTATCCGGTTGGCATATCCAGATCGGGGTCAGTTTGTATGGCAGGCAGGCAGATCGAATATGGGGCGGCATTGGGACGGAATCGATGATGCAAGCGGGCAGCTGCTCGATGAGGGCGGCTGCAACATCAAAAGGTTCTGTGTACAGTAGATAGTCCTTAAAATGGATTAAAATTTCATTTAAATTTGCATTTAAATGAGCGCAGCGCACTCAAAGTAAATGCCCCCGCTTTTTCACAGGACAAAGGGCTGCTGACCAGACCCGCTTCCAGACGCAGACCCAGGCCCAGACTTCCGCGCGAAACAGTTGCCATCCAGACGTGGACTTCGCGCACATGGGCAACATTAAAAATGTGCTTTTTAATGTTCTTCTTTTTTCACGTAGCATTCTCCTGGCAGTTGCAGCTCAGTTGATTACCTTTGGCAGCAGTGTGTGTGTCTCGCGGGCGTGGGCGGGGCGGGGCTTAAGCGAGCGATCTGCTGCTGCATTTTAATGGGCATTATTTAAATATGTATATTTTACAATTAAATAAACGATTTTCATGCTCTTATGGCGCCCAGTTCCAATTTCAGCTGCTGCTGCACTGCATGCGGAATCCTTTCAGGTAGCTTACGAATTTCTCTCCTTCCTGCTGGTGTGTATTTTCTGCTTTGCGTGTTAATTAAATTTGCAAAACTGCCTTAAGGATATTTTAATTGCCCTTTGTGGAACAATTGGTTTGTTTTTTTTTTTTTCGCCAGTTGCGGTTAGTATCTTTTTATGACCGCAGGCTCTATGCCATATATATTAAGGACCTCATCCAGTAAAATGGCATTTATTCATTAGCTTATCCTCCTGATGGATTCTCGATATAGATTAAACGCATTTTAAAAACGCCCACATTTAAACTATTATGAATGTATTATGGTGGTGTTTCAGTTGGTTTTGTCGTCGTTGCCGTCGGTCCGTTGTTTGTTGGCGAACTAACAAATTTTCCAATTTGTTTCTTGATTTATTTTCACGCCAATTTCTTGGCGTTCGCCTCCGACGCTGCTGACATTTGTTTATTTATTTGGTTTCATGTTTTGTCTGCCGTCGTTTTCTCCGCTCTGCAGCCGGTTGCGTGAAATCACGAATGAATGAATGACTGCCCCGGCAACAGCCATGAATATTCATGGGCCATGCCACTAGAAACAACAGTAGCTACAGCAACAACAAAAACAACAGCAACAACAACAACAAGAAGAACAACACACAGCTAACTCAGCTTGCATTTCCGCTCTATGCGCCAACAATTCGCAGCGCCATTTTGTTGTCCCCAGCAGCAGCAGCTGCAGCAGCTCCGCATCGTGGTTAGAATACCCTTTGTAAAGCCTCATTAACTATATCAGTGTATTCGTGAAGACTGCCAGCGGTTTTTAATTCACTTGCGTCAATATTCAATTCAATTCAGTATGTCAATATTTTACTTGTTGTATAAATTTAATTTAATACAAAAGCCCAACTTTTTACTAATAGAAAGGTTTGAAATACTTTTGTGTATTGAACAGTAATTTAGAAATATCTTCTGCTAACATTTCTTGGCAACAATCTCTTACTTTTACCGATTAAATATTTTCAAATATGTGCTGTTCCATTCTTAATGTATTTTTACTTAATTTCAAAACGATCGCGGGTAAGCATATTAAGACTTCGGTTTTGGAATATTTACATTTACTGTCTTGTTCGTGTTCGTTGAGGATTCGATGTGCGCAGCTGTTTCTTAGTGAGATGCTGCAACTTGCTTGGCTGCTTGTTGGTGTTATTGCTGCCATTGTTTTAGTCAACATTTTGTGGTTAAATGTGCCTGTATGTGTGTGTGTGTGTGTGTGTGTGAGTGCAACAGTTTCTTGCTGGCCGCACAAAAGTAGGCAATGCTTTTGCGTTTGTATCGAACAGGAAATTTAATTAAAAGCGCTTTGTTGGCGATTTCAAATGCAGGAAATATAGTCGTAAGTAGTTGAGACCACAACTTACAGCTACTGCCACTGCCAACTTTTTCAACTGCCACGGCCGCAACCCTCTCGACCGCGCTAACGAACTGTGACTGTAATCGCCGCACTGCTGCACTTGACTTTAGTACATTTGGCTCTGCAATGGCCGTTGTGATTTTTAGCCGACATATTTGGCCGCCTCATGAGAAACTTGTCAGCTGCTACTGCTGCTGCCTCCGACCCAGACTTGTGTTGATTGCTCCGGAACAATCGCAATGGCATTTGTCTGGCACACACGTAACCCTGATTCCCTGATTGCGATGCTTGCACCAGCTCCATTTGAGAATGTATTGATTTTGAGCGCTAATTACCGACAGTTGGGTGTAAGGTTAAGTGTGGGTCAGCGTGTGTGGCAACACAACCATTGTATAGGGTCAGCCAGACATCGCCTGTTTCGTAATTGTAGCTGTCAGATAAGATTGTTTCAGTGTCGGGCGCAGGCGACGCACGACTTTGCGGGTCAGTTTGACTGGTCTCCAATGTGACCTAAGGCTTGTGGATTTGAATGTGTGTAAAGCTTGCAAATTATGGTCAAAGTGTGTACATCAACGAAGTTTTCCCATTGAAAAGTTCCTCAATATATCAAAGTTTTCCCAGCAAAACTTTTGATCAACAAGTCAATACTTTCGTCTAGGTCCCTTTGGTGTACAGATTCGACCTGAACAAAATCAGTACGCTTAATCGAGAGTTAAGTGATTTCAATAAAAAAAAGTTGTAAATATAATTAATAGAAGAAAATTGAATTGTTCGATTGAGAAATGTACAAAATATGACGAGGCTGCAAGCCGCCTTTTACAAAACTATATTATTACCCGGAATTGCAATTTTAAAAAATTTTTGAAATAAAAGTTTAACTGAATGATAACAAGAAAGGTGAAAGCCCAAAATGAAAACTCCCGGCATAAGACACTGATAAAGTCCTATTTGAATAGCAAGTGAACATAAAAATAAAAACAGATTCTTAAATGAAAATCGAATTTTAACAATCCATACGGATGCGGATCTGCACAGCCAGCTGAACAACATTTTGTTCTCTACCTTCGCTAATGCAACGAATAATAGAAAAAAAAACCGCTTTTGCCTTTTGGCAAATCGAGCAGACTTTGTAAACCATTAGAGAGTCATCCTGACTAGGTCTGCCTTCAACTTCAACTTCAACTTAAGCTTCAGCTCCAGCATCGTCCCCATGCCATGGCAAGTAATCTTTGATTTTGCATGAGCTGATTCTATGGGGCAAGTCCGGACTACATGCTGCGGCCAGCATTGGGGCACTGCAGCTGTATAAATTTTACATTTGTTTCCTTTCAATTTAACAATGTGTACTTTTCGTATTGTTTTCCTTTAGAGAGCAGCTAGTGAAGCAGGGCTTTTGGGGCTGGCTGGCAACCATTTTTCACGCGACCCGAGCTATGGCGGATGCTCACTTCATCGCCTGATTTCGCAATATTTATGATTAGCAATTTATTATTCATCATTTTCGAGTGCGCAAACAAAACGCGCCAACCCAAGCAGCCGAGAAAAATCGAATGATGTTCTGCAATAATTCTTGAGCCAAGGGTAGACTCTGATGGGCGGCTGTGCGAACCAAGCTGGGGGCGGACCTTGTACCGCCATTAACTAGCACTTAATTTGATTAACCGAAAGCCGATGTTTACATGCGCTGCATGCCAGCATATCTATCAAAAATGAGCCGAATACTTGTATTACTTTGGCGCATAATGGGTTCCCAAACCTGAGAATTCTGATTCTCTGAGATTCGCAGGGATTGCGACTGGATGGGCACAATTGATGGCTGCAGTGGCTGCTTTGAACTTAAGCAGCCAGCTTATTGGGTGATTTGTGTAAATAATTTATGGCATTTACATACTTAAAAAATCTTTATTTATCGCAGCCATAGGCGTGAGGCTGTAAGGCTGCTCACTGAGGTGAATGAGGATACATATGCCCACACATTCTTGCGCATTGCGACTTTCAATAGATTTTTTGAGAGTTATCTCTTATTTAAAATACCTTTGTAATCTTGTAGAGAGTTACAATTTTGTTACAATGATTGATCAGTTTCTTATATTGCACTTAATTATTCCATAAATCAATACAAGAAACTGATACAATCCTGCCGTGCTCTTTAGTCTTACCTTTTTATTCGCATTCACATAAAACTAAGGCGTTTCAGGTAAATCTGGTTCGACTTGCCTTAAACTACATTTTAAAACTTTATAATACAAAATATTTTATAAGCTTTGATTGATTTTTAAAATCCACTCTGGGGTAAAAGTTTATTTATTTTTTATTTATGTACTCACACTATTTCACCCTTTTCGGAAAATCCCTTTCCCTCGTTGGAAACAGTTGGAAAAGTTGTGTGTATACAGTCAAAGTGATTCTCATAAAGCATAAAACGCCCCTCCTGGTTGAAAAATGGCTGGAAAAGGTTATCTGAGTGAAATTTTAGTTTAGTTAGCCAAAAGTGTTCGTATTTATAATCAGTAAAAAAAAATTGGCGAGTATTATGATGCCATTTAAGAATATTATACTAATTTATCACAGATAACCCTGCATTGGGGTATTAACCCGTGATAGAACATAAAATAAAAGATAAATCGAATTTGAACTGTTGCCTTTTGGAAAATGTAATTATGAGTTCATGCTTATTTACAAATATTAAAGTAAAAGGAAGGGAAATGGATGCATTAGTAATGTTTAAAAATTGATAAAAAGATTTTTTGGGCCGTACGAAGCAATAGTTGACTGTAAACCATGACTGTTTATTTTAACGTAAAATTATAAAGTCTCAATGCGGAGCCATCGAAGCAGGCTTTTTAGATATTCCAAATTGGATTAGTAATAAATTACGGCTGGCAATATTGAAGCACATTTGTACATAGGCGACGCTTTGCATTCGATTCAAATATTTACAATTATATTGAAATGCTAATGCGAAGGGTGCAAATGGGTAGCGACCCCCTCTAAGTGTCTGTGGACTATTTACACATGCCAATAAATGTTGGCACAAGCGAATTTTCGAGCATTTGGCGGCGTTTTACATATTCCTATATATTCGCTTGCCGCTTACGAGAGCATTATAATGGAATGGAATCCACTTGAAAATAGAGCAATCCACTTGCATATGTCGCGCGGACATTTTAAGAATGAGTCGACGCCATAAATATTATTGACGGGCGGGTCGGCAAGCCCCCCATTCGAGGACACAGACTATGATTGCGGCAAGCGGATGTAAAACCTTGGCAATGACAGTTTCGGGGCCCGTCTGTTATGCAAATGTTGGCGTATGCCTCTGTCTGTACTCGTAGTTGGTCTGACTGTTAGTGTGTATGTGTGTGAGTGTGTGCTTGTGTGTGTGTATCGACGCCTGTTTATATGCAAATCTTTTATTTCGGTCTCGGCTGGCTGGGCCTGGCTTCTTTTTATTTTGGCTGCAGCGCCGCCTGTTTTATTTCTTGCATTAAATTAACATCAATAAAATGTGTCGTTTGTATTTTTCAAGTGTGTCCCAATGTCCTGCGTCCTGTCGCTGTGTCTGCCCCCATCCCCGCAACGGTCTTCGTCTTCTGCTGCACTTGTCTGCCCATAATTCGCAGCTAATGCCAACATGTGCTGTGATTTGTCCACGGAGAACATTTGCGCCGCGGGTGTACTTTCCATATACCAATATATATGCCATATTCTCCCTACGGCGAAATCATCTATTAATTTTACTTTCAAGACATTTGCATAAACCAGTTGCCTGAGGCCAGCCGGCAAACCTTTTCCATGGATTGGCTAAGAATAAAGGAGAGTTGTATACTTGGAAAGATGAGACAGTAGATATGAGGGTAGAGACAAGTTTGGTATATAGTATACACAAATAAAAACTATATTACCAATATACTATTGGAAGATTCCATAACTGAAGCTTACGAAGACTGAAGTTACGAAGCCTGGATCGTCTACCCGTCAGTTATTAAACACTATCTAGTGTGCTATAGAAATTTGACATGTATTAAAGTGAAAAGATAAACAAACAGCAAAGTTATGGAAAAGACTTACAATCCAGTCAGACAATGGGATCTATTCCAGTACGAAGCCACGACGTCTGAGAATCGATTCATTGACTATCCACTGTGGACTCTTTATATTACGATTGGTGTCCTCATTTTTATAGCCTGCTGTTCTTTTTGTGGTATTTTAATGTGGTTTTCACTGATTGTTCGTGGTTCAGCCCAAGGTGACTTGGATTAACTAACATACTCCTCAAGCACAAGTTTTCAATCTGCTGTAAATAAATAACGAAATTATCAGTTATTTTAAATTGGATCTCATATCAGAGTGTATTTCGATTCAGAGTGTATTAAGCAATTTTCCAGATATCAGTAAAATATTGAAAGATGCATCTTTGATAAGTGCTTTCATTGTTGTTCAGGATAACGAGCTGAGCTTGCCATTTTCTGCAATAGATAGTACCTGCGTGAAGTCGGTCGGTTCGGATTACTGTATATTAACGATACCATAAAACAGCTCCGACCTAAACAAGAATATATTCCAAGCTACGCAGAACTATGTTAAGACTTACGGACAACATTTGGTTGTTATATAAGAAGAAGATATTCAAGAATGTATTTCCCAGAGTGTATGGTAAACAGACGAAAAACGGCGTACGTGCTTGTGTGTATGTGTGTGCTTATGTATATATATATATATATATATATGTGTGTGTGTGTGTATATATATATATATGTATATATTTTTGTATATACATATGCATAGAGGGAAGTTGTGTTTGCAAAGTATTTCTCAGCCGGATACTCCCGATTTCAAGAGATCAATATATATTTTTGTTCAGTTCAAACTTATCAAGGGCAACAATTAAATAAAAATTAAATTCTTTATACGTACCTTGCAAAAAAATGTTGCAAAAGTGGTCGCAGAATTCACTGCAAACTCTGGCGAGAGGGAGGGCGGCTTTCAAAGGGCGTGGTCGATGGCGAATAAACAAATAAACATGGCCATGCAATATTAATATTTATGCACAAATATTGAAAGTAAGGCTGCAAACGAGACAACGGAAAGGGCAAGTAATGGCAGGGCGGGATGGCGATGTTCCTGAGGGCGATGCGGAAATACTCGTATATCTAAGTGAAATGCTAAAAGATTGATGACTTGGCGTCTTTGTGTATGTTGGCTGGACGCTCGACCATTGCGTGAGTGCGCTTGTGTGTGTGTGTGTGTGTGTGTGTTTCACGTTTATAAGAATTTATGGCAATGGATGTTCAGGCATCGCTGCGTATACGCAATATTTTTATTTATGTATTATGAATCAATGCGTGTAGCGTGCAAAAGCAGCGTGCAGAGGCCAGGGCTATGAGCTTCGGGTAGTCAGCGTGTCAGGTCGGCATAAAAAAGTATATTTATATATGTATCTAAAAGATGCACACTAAAACAAAAGGATAACAATAACTTCTCGGCATGGGCGGGAGGATTCGCAATCTTTACGAAAGGTCTATGAGGGCGGATTAGTGGGCAGGGCGTTGGCGTTTGCTTATAAATAAGCTCACTTACGTTAACGAATAGAGCGCACATAAAAATTGCATGAAAATGAAAGACACCCACTCGAATGCGGACCACAGTCGCACCCGGAATACGACAATCATCTTGCAGTAGCCCAAAATAGGGCCAAAAAGGCCGCATCAGATGCTATGTTTTTTGTTTGTTTTTTTGTACGTAAAAAATTATACTATTACAATCAAGTTTACGACTGCTATTTCGCCGCATTGCCTGACTGCCAATGAATATGATGATGGCCAGGCAATGATCAGCAGTTCGGATGATGATGATGATGATTGTGCTGGCTGTTCTGGCAATAAAATCAGCGAAAACAGCTTTTGGAGCTTCTCGTATGCCCTGACATATATGGGCCAAGCCAGACCTGAAAATGTTTAATAAAATAGTTTGCATAGGCAAGCCGAAACAATTGACCGCTGCTCAAAGTTAGCATAAAAAGTCGTAACTCCAGAGGCAATATTAACAGATTTATTGGTATTTTAAGGTATATTAACCAAAATCATTATTTTTCTTCATCTATTGGCGTTAAGATTATAACTCAGGTTAACAAAAAATAATGACTATAAAGGTTTTTTTTGTAGCTTTGGCCAGAATATTGTCATTTATAAGCTAGGATCTTTAATCTTCGATATGTAAAGGAAATCTCTTCTTATCCTAATACTCACATAGATAAATTAATTGCCATGAGGTAGATTTCGGTGCTTCGAACTCAAAGACCATCGGAGATACGCTGGCTTATTTCCATTTTTCTTTGAATTTGTTGGTTTTTACGTATCATAATCGTTACAGATCAATGCAACAGATTGATAAAACCTTGACATTGGTGATACCCAGATTTTCTCTAAGTGTACAGTTGGTTCTTTTTCTTCCAAGACAATTCCATGTTCTTCAGCTGTAAACGTTTAAATTTCATGTTTTCCTTATGCATTCGCTCATTGCCTAAAGCAAGCCCCACCTCACTGCCTAACTCACCCTCTACTCACCACAACAACAAAACTAGCATGAACCACCGCAACAACAACGCACATTTTGTGGGCTGCACTCACATTTTTTTACTCCCCTTAACCTCCTGCAGCAAGTGCACAGGCTAAAAAGGTTGCCAACAACAACAACGTAACTTTGAGAATCGACAAGCGTCGCTTTTGACTGCCGCTCAGCTTTTTGTTCCTCTTCACGCCCCTCTTGCGCGCACTAGAGAGTGCTTTTTTTCGTGAGCTTTGAGCCACTTTTTTTCGCCACAAAAGTTTGCACTTTGACAGGCAGCCACGTGTATGACTATGTTGTGAGAGGTGAGTGCTTATGTGTGCCTGTGTGGGCCAGCTTGCATCTGGGTGTGAGTGTGAGTGTGCGAGATGAATGCGCATTCGTTGTCGCTTTGCCCGACATTCCCGTTTCCAGCTGGGAGCTGCTTTGAATTCAGCTGCCGAGCTGCCAATAGCAACGCTTTTACTCGACTCGTCCAACAAACGTCGCTAATTCCTCTAAAAGTGGGCAAATGCTGCGATTAAAACGATGTCGCAATGTTTTTGCTTCTGCTCTGCCCATGGTGCGCTCTTGTTCTTATACCCTTGTTATGGGTACCATAATTTAGTCAAAGAACGTGCAACGCATTGGCATCAAAATCCACGTTCCTATAAAGTATATGTTCCTGTCATCAGTATCATCAGCCGAGTCGAAGTCATGTTCCTCTGTTCTTTCGGCCTAAAGAATATTGTCATGAAACTTTGTTTTCGTCATTTCGGATTTCGGACCCTATATCATATCAACATCGGACTCGTATATGACACCTTTACCTTATGAAAGATCGGTCAAAAATAAATTTTATACCATTTTGGACTCGTAATTGTCAGTACTATCAATTGGCATCAAAAGTTTTAAAATCAAAATTTTGACCCAAATCGGCCAAAAAGCAAGGGGTTACATCATGTTTTTTGTCAAAATCGGACTCGGATCGAAAATCAAACCTTTTTCGATGATTTTTTGGAATATCTCGGCCAAATAATGTCCGATTTTGGAATTTTATACTATTTTGGACTCGTAATTGTCAGTACTATCAATTGACATCAAAAGATTTAAAATCAAAATTTTGACCCAAATCGGACAAAAAGCAAGGGGTTACATCATGTTTTGTGCCAAAATCGGACTCGGATCGAAAATCAAACCTTTTTCGATGATTTTTTGGAATATCTCGGCCAAATAATGTCCGATTTTGGAATTTTATACTATTTTGGACTCGTAATTGTCAGTACTATCAATTGACATCAAAAGATTTAAAATCAAAATTTTGACCCAAATCGGCCAAAAAGCAAGGGGTTACATCATGTTTTGTGCCAAAATCGGACTCGGATCGAAAATCAAACCTTTTTCGATGATTTTTTGGAATATCTCGGCCAAATAATGTCCGATTTTGGAATTTTATACTATTTTGGACTCGTAATTGTCAGTACTATCAATTGGCATCAAAAGTTTTAAAATCAAAATTTTGACCCAAATCGGCCAAAAAGCAAGGGGTTACATCATGTTTTTTGTCAAAATCGGACTCGGATCGAAAATCAAACCTTTTTCGATGATTTTTTGGAATATCTCGGCCAAATAATGTCCGATTTTGGAATTTTATACTATTTTGGACTCGTAATTGTCAGTACTATCAATTGGCATCAAAAGTTTTAAAATAAAAATTTTGACCCAAATCGGCCAAAAAGCAAGGGGTTACATCATGTTTTTGTCAAAATCGGACTCGGATCGAAAATCAAACCTTTTTCGATGATTTTTTGGAATATCTCGGCCAAATAATGTCCGATTTTGGAATTTTATACTATTTTGGACTCGTAATTGTCAGTACTATCAATTGGCATCAATAGTTTTAAAATCAAAATTTTGACCCAAATCGGCCAAAAAGCAAGGGGTTACATCATGTTTTGTGCCAAAATCGGACTCGGATCGAAAATCAAACCTTTTTCGATGATTTTTTGGAATATCTCGGCCAAATAATGTCCGATTTTGGAATTTTATACCATTTTGGACTCGTAATTATCAGTACTATCAATTGGCATCAATAGTTTTAAAATAAAAATTTTGACCCAAATCGGCCAAAAAGCAAGGGGTTACATCATGTTTTGTGTCAAAATCGGACTCGGATCGAAAATCAAACCTTTTTCGATGATTTTTTGGAATATCTCGGCCAAATAATGTCCGATTTTGGAATTTTATACTATTTTGGACTCGTAATTGTCAGTACTATCAATTGACATCAAAAGATTTAAAATCAAAATTTTGACCCAAATCGGCCAAAAAGCAAGGGGTTACATCATGTTTTTTGTCAAAATCGGACTCGGATCGAAAATCAAACCTTTTTCGATGATTTTTTGGAATATCTCGGCCAAAAAATGTCCGATTTTGGAATTTTATACTATTTTGGACTCGTAATTATCAGTACTATCAATTGGCATCAATAGTTTTAAAATAAAAATTTTGACCCAAATCGGCCAAAAAGCAAGGGGTTACATCATGTTTTGTGTCAAAATCGGACTCGGATCGAAAATCAAACCTTTTTCGATGATTTTTTGGAATATCTCGGCCAAATAATGTCCGATTTTGGAATTTTATACTATTTTGGACTCGTAATTGTCAGTACTATCAATTGGCATCAAAAGTTTTAAAATAAAAATTTTGACCCAAATCGGCCAAGAAGCAAGGGGTTACATCATGTTTTTGTCAAAATCGGACTCGGATCGAAAATCAAACCTTTTTCGATGATTTTTTGGAATATCTCGGCCAAATAATGTCCGATTTTGGAATTTTAATTGTGATATGAATATACATAAGGATTCAATTTTAGAATCAAATATAGCAGCAAGGTTTTTTATGTTCACATTTAAAAGGATAATCACAGATAAAATTATTATTAATTTTTTATGCATATTTTTAAGCGAGCATTTTGGATCATTTTTAAAATTTCTCATTTATCCATTAAGCAGCACAAATACAATCACCACAATCAGAAATCCCTTTTCACACACACACACACAGCCTCACACATGCAGCATAATGTACACACACGTGCGAACACTTGAAAATCTTTCAGCTCATATGAATATTTTAAAACTCGCTCGGAACTTATTCAAATTATGATAATGACGGGAATGGCGAGTGCTTTGCAAATGTGTGCTGGAGAGGGCTGGCCTCTTCCCTCCTCGCTCTCGTGCGAGTGTGTGAGTTGAGCGCTAACGAGCGGAGGTACTCGTCGACCCAGGCACAAGTCCCAGTTCGCAATTCCCATCTAGTTCCCGTAATGCATTTCATTAATTTGTATACAATTTTTTTTCGATTCGTCAGAGAAATGGTTCGTGGGCGTGTGGGGGGTTTTTGAGCACTCCTGTGAGTGGATCGCCAGCCATCATTAGAATTCACTTCATGACAAACCACCCTCGAGAAGGAGTTGAGAGTGTACTTGACTTTGAGCTTCTTAATTTCTGCACTGCATAGACTCTTGGGACACTTGTGCGAGGCACATGCTGACATTTTGCTAAAGCGTTGCGCAAATAGACAAACAAACTCCAAATTTAAAAGAAATAATTGTGAACATTTAATAAAAAGTGGACATCTTCTATCTCATAAAATATGTATATATTAATCAAATTGTGAAAAAAACTGCGATTTTCTTACAATTGTTTTTCTTTTTACCTACTTGACATATTTCGGAAATCCCGTCTTTCCTTTCTTGTTTGTTTCTGAAATCGGATCTGCTTCGAACTAACTATAAAGAACTCCAAATAATTTGAAAGAAAAAGGCTCTAATTTTAAGGAAAAACAACATTATCTACTAGTGTATATGAACATGTTTCTTTAAATTGTTTGTTTAAGAGTAAAAAGTATGCTTTGTGTTTAAAATATTTGTTATTCGAAAAGAAACGTTTCAAATTGTTGCAGAAACACACTGATTTGAAATGAGCGCTGCGAAGCAGTGGTATGTCTATAAATCAACAACAACAACAACAACTGAATGCCCCGAGCAGAGAGCAGCGCGTGCCATTGAAACTGGAACAATTATATTAATCGTTCTAGCAAGTTTGTGCGCTTTCTTTGGCCTGTGCTGCTTGCCATTTCTGGTTGGGATTTTCTGTGGCCTGGGCTTTTGTGGCACGCATCGTGCCTACGAATATGGCTAATGCTTTTGAGCTGAGTAAGTGTATGGCATGCAAGCAAGCATTCACTAATGCATCCCTACTTACAGATCACTGAACACGCATGTTGTATTTAATATTTAATGCATACCTGCAGAGTCGTCGGTAACTTTTTTTGGATCTGGTGCGACTGCGTATATTAAATCAGAAAATTCAAATCCGTAGTAGAAATAGTTGGCTGTGTTTATAGTGCATCGAATTTTTAATCAAAAATTAAACGTATATCTCGTATATCATAGTGAAAATGGCGCTCGTATTGTCAAAATTTTTTATGTGGCCAATTTGGATAATTATCAGTATCTTTATGTGCGCATGCTGTTGCGTGTGTCTTCCTATCATTTGTGTAACTCTGATTTGCTATAGAGCATGTCAGCGTGATCGTGAAATATAAACAAACTAAGGATAATACCCTGGCTTTGCCCGTGGCAAGTCTGGTTCCCTAATTTAGTATATACATTTTTTATCGAGCTCCCGCCCGTAAACTGCGTTAGTTTCCTCCCATGTTAGTCTTGTGGTGAGAGGCTTGAAGCCGAAAAGTAAACTTTTGCTCATTAAACCTTTGACACGCTTTTTCATCGGATTACGCAAAAAACGTATCAAACAGAAGTTTACAAAAATCTCTATATATGAGACTGAAAAAAAAATTGCAAATTATTCGCCAAAATTTCCACTGTTGCGTGCGGAATTTCCTAAATCCCCGTTTCAGCATGCACCTCGATCACATGACAGCTCTACGGCTTAGGGCGTGCGCTGTTCACCAATCCGTGAGGACAAACAATTTTATCTATAGAGATTAATACAATTTCATTAAATTGTTTAAAATAAATGTATGATGATATTCGGTAGTTAAGATCAAAGTATATTGTGGCATATTTCTGAGTGCCATTGTGTGTGAAATGTGATAGAAAAAGTTGGTTGATATCCTTGGAGGCGGCAAGTAAGGCCAGACAGCTACCCGAACAGAGCGACAGCAAATGTCGCAAATGCACTCAGCACTTTGTCAGCTCTCAGACAGAAAATGCAGTAGCCATTTTTCTTTGGCCAGTTGCTTCTCCGCCCTCCGACTGCATTCCACATGGCAAGAGTGTTACATCTTCTTGGGGCTGTCTGCATTTTTCGGTGCCATAAAAAGTATCACTTTACTTCACAGGCTGCCATGTTGATGTTTTCTTGTGGCATTCTGTTGTTTTGTCTAAATTTCGATGCTTCCATATTCAGTTTTATAATTTTTCCTCAAGTTTTTCTGCTGCATGAAAAAGTTTTCATTGCCATCGTCAGCCATAGGAAAAGTTTTTTTTTTATATATTCCCTGCCTGAGTTTTCTGAGTGCACGTGCACTTAGACTCTGTGGATTTGCAGTTGAAGAATATGAATCCTAAGTAACTTATACGTACAAGTTTGTTTGAGGTGAATATATTTTAGTAATTCTACTAATCTGTCACGTCCAGACAATCTTCTGACACGTTTATTTGGATAAAAATAAATGCATTTACTATACAAATAGTTTGCTAAGTGATCGATAGCCTGTTCTAGGATAGGCTAAACATTTCTTATCATATTTACGAAAATATTTACATAAAAATGTTTGATATAAAGGTGTGATTAATAGGATCTTAAATCGTTATTTATGATAATAAAAAAAGGCAGACAGTTGGACATAGCTTAAGTCGTCACACAGATCCCATAATGCAATAAATGGATTGTGTTTTATAGGAATCCGGGAAATATATTTTCTATTTCTAGAAATAAATTAAGTTTAATATGAGAACTGTGTAAATATTCAGTTGGATTATCTCGCCAGCCAAGTAACAAAATCTCGGAACTTTTCCAGTTTCCTTTGACCGCCGCGTGATATAACGCGTTTCCATCTCAGCTCCAAGCCCAAACGCTCCTCCGGGTCCAGGGTGTCCATGTACTTTTTGAGCTTCTTGCTAAAGGATTTAAGTAATTGGGTAGATCGCATCTGGATCGTGCGCTTCCATCTATCAAAGCCAGTGCGCTGCAGACACATGGCAATTAATTGGATCTCAATGCTCGTCGTCTTCTCGGCGACATCTGCATCCAGATACACGCCCACAATGTTATAGAAGGATTGCAGCGCTTCCTTTGTGTGGTTGTCGCCAGTGACAAGAAACGCCTCGAAGTTGCTCAGATAGCTGAGTATTATGGGATTCTGTGAGTCCAGAACGAGCAGATCATCGACCACACTGTCTACCAGCTCTGTGGCCTGAACCATGGCATGCTTCGTAATGGCAGCCAAATTGTGCTCCGCCTGGGCCGTCAAGCGGCTGCGACTGAGATCTCCGTAGCAGGCTACCAGGGTGAGCTGAAGCAGCAGCAGTTGCCAAGTGAGGAATCCTTCTCTTACACTCGATTTGATTGGAAACTTACCGGCGATAGCAATACCAGCAGCCAGCCGCAGTGGATGAGTTGACTCTGCGCATTCATTCTGACAGCTTGACAGTCGGTTGTCTACTAACCAAGATTTCCAAAAATAAAAGAAACGAGCGAAGCAACTTGGACAGATAGTGTTATCAGGGGCATTTTCGTATGGGGATTGCCTACAGTTTGACATAACGATGATATACGATTGCGAGCAAGATATGACACACGCCACCCATGACGAGTTCATTTCGGCAGTTGTACGCGGGTGAAGTTAATTTCAATTGATAAGCGTTTATATGAATATAAAAGGTTTTAATTGAGGTTCATTTGATTTGAATATTCAAATTTGATAGTTAAGAAAAACGATTCAATTTTTAACAGAAAAGTCAATAGCTCGGCCGGATATGGCAGGTGTATATCAAAATATATATTTGCAAAGACAAAAATACTCTTTCAACCAGATACTCAATTTTATTTCTTTCTTTTATCTGCACATAAAGCAATTAAGATAACTTTATACTTAAAATTTCAATAGGAAGCTTCAGATTAAAGAGCTTTTTAGCCTATTTTATTAATAAATTTGTTTATGACCGAGCATTTTTAGAGTGCCTTAATCATGCGGTTACAACGTAGATACATTTGTATATAAGGACTGCGATTTCACGAATTGAACCAGCTACCCGCATGCAGGTTCCGTTAGTGAACCTGCATTTCCACCTCTTCATTCAATATTTAATTTTTAATGGCCACCTTTACTGATTTTACTGAATATGGGTATAAAGGGTATTTTGATTTAATGCAAAACATGTTGACCGTATTGATTGACCCATGTTCGTCTGTGGGACCATCAATCCGTCAGTCAAATGTAGAACGAAGGACCACTTAGCTTGGACAATTGAAGTTTGTTTCATCCCCAGTTTCATTCTATACAAAAAATTTATTGAATATTCGGGTTCGAACAATCGACGTCAGTCAAACATGTATTTTCATTTCATTATGGGACTAAGGGAAAATGCATCTGTTTTGTAGAATACAGCTGCGCGCTGTGTTATAGGTATATATTTTATTAGGCATCGATTAATAAATTGGAATATCGTGTACAAATAATTCGGTTCAAGGCCGGCTTGCAGCTTTAATATATATACTACCTGTTACTACAGTAAAGGAATCCTAATGAATACTTAAAGAAAAATTTGTAAATATACAAAACGACAGACGGAGTCTCGCCTCAACTCGTTAAAATATTCAATTAATGTATATAGTTTTTTATCCCGTCCAATTTGCTGTATTAAACATTTCGTGGTTAAATTTTAAAGTACACAAAATAAAATTGTTGGCTTGTGACTAGGGCCATATTATTTGGGCACCGGCAAAATGGGATCAACATAAGAAGCTGAGCTGACCACTTTAACTGGCAGCATGAAAAATTGATGTGCCGCATCTAATCCAAATAGGTCGGGAAATGAAGATGAGGCACTTTAATGCCTCAGCAAAAAACAAAAACTACTCTAATGGATAAGCGGAAGTGGTTGCGGGTGCGGATAAAATTAATAATAGCGAAATAAAAGTTCTCTTCTAGCAGAAATTGCCTTTCGGTTAGATGTGGAGTTATTGTCCCCGCCTTGGTCCCTGCCGCCGGCAAATGGCATAATGTGTGATAGACGTCGTATGTGGGTCAGTGGTATATGATGAAACTTGGTGGCATCATCATCAGCTTCGGAAACAGGGTATTAAATGCGAAATACTTGCTCTTGCGCTGTCTGCCTTTCAATGGCTGCAATTCAGAGTTTAGAGAGCCAGCAAATCCCAACACTCGCCAGCCAACAGAATTGTGCGCGTTTGGCTGCAATTTCAACTTTGATAAGTTAACTGCGATACCAACCATCATCTAGCTATAGGAGCTGCGAATTTCAATTGATGACTTTGTATACCCTGCTCCATTACAAAGGAGCTGAGTAAACAAATGAGTTGAGTAAACTTTTCAACTTTGACTTTAACATGTATAAAAACACATTTGCACAAAACCATTTTATCTTTTTTAAAGACCATTTTTAACGAGTAGAAGGTAAAGAAATGGAACCTAGAATGTATACCATATTCGCAGTGGCTTACATGTTTAAATAAAACTATCTTTATCTATCATTTTTTATTTGTGCCTTTGTTTTATTTACCATATACAGCATATAATCGGTATATAATCAAGCATTTACTACTAAACAATTACGACTGAAGGGATTTATGAACACACACGCACATGCTTGCATTCTTAATCGCATGCAGAACTCTCAGTTTTCCCACATCAGATTTATCCCCGAAATAATGGCTAAGCAATACGCAACTCTGGCCCAGTCAACCCCACCAGGGGAAACCCTGATGCAAAGGACGGCGGGTACGGTTAGGAGAAAACACAAGTGTTGTTAGCCCACACCTAAGCATGTATACAATGCCACCCTTGGAGCCAGTCTGCGCTTGCATGCAAATTTCAATAACTTATATTCGTAACCCTTCCGCCAACTGACACTGAATATCAAATATGAGCCAAGGCGCAGACGAAGTACAAAAATTATTTGCATACTTTCTGGGGATGCTTGGCACAAAAAAAAGGAAAAGAAAACTCTAACGAAATAAAGGCAACAAAAACCATGCTGAAACGTTGCCTTCAAAGTGCCGAAAATAAAATGCTCTTCTACATATCATTTTGATCAAATTTAGAGATTATGTATTTCGAAAACTTGGCACAAAACTATGCATCTACATAATTTTAGGTGATTGTATGGATACTTTTTAACATAGTAGTCTAACAAAAGTAGTCTCAAAAGTATGAAGACTATAACAAATTTCTTCAATATGAGTTTAGTTTTTATTATTATTATAATTATTATTATTGTTATTATTATTATAACAAATAAAGGTCTATCTCAAGAACTCAACTTACTGTTGATAGTTTTCTTGCCTGCGATCCATAAACTGAGCTCCACAAAATAAAATAGATATTAATTTTTATTGAAACATTTGTTTATATCTACTTGGCTTGTCGTGCTGATCAATCATATAATTTCTCATCGTGTAGGTAATGTCTCCATCAAGGCGCGACACGGTGCGTGGCAAAAATAAAATACCCTGTGCAAGGGTATTGCAAGCAGTTGGAGCCACATGTGGCGCTCTTTTGGTTTAGTGTGAAAAAAGCTAAAAACAAGCCGTTACACGCTTCCGGGTGGGTGCAAACAGAACAGCCGCCCCTCCTTCTGGGCTGTTGTGTGGCACCAACCACAGCACGCAAGCGAAACGAGTTTATTTATTGCATTTGCAAATTTTACACAACATTTTGCAGTCGATGCTTTCCCTTCTGTGAAAGGTGTAACATGAGTTTATCGCTGAAAAATATTTTCCCCACCTCGAACAGAAATTGATTCGGCTTATGTATGTGGAAAGCAAACTTTGCGAGGCATTTGTAACACGAAGCGGCAAGTTCAATGAAGCCAAAGGTGTTTGCTTGTTACGCTCCTCCGACTCCCAAATTTACAACTTGGTGTCGGTGATTGGCATTGGGTTCAGGGTTTGGGGGCTCAACCGTTTGCCAAGCAGCTAAGTTGATGTGCAAATATTTCCATAAATTTATTTTCTGTAGGGCCAAGTTTTGGGTGTCATGTTTGAAACACACAAAAAAAATTTGCACAACTTATTTGAGCAACCCGCCAAGAAGACAAAAACTGTAAGTACAGCTTTCTGTGGCTGCCGTCATGAGTTTGAAATTTGATTTTTTTCGGTTCTCAGAAATGATGTGAAAAATTCTACAAATCATTTTTTTATTCTTGTACTCTTGCTGTGCTATAAATAAAAACGAAAATAGATGATGTGATTTTGTAGAAGGAACAAGACAATAAAACGATACTAAATAAAAGCACGTTTTGTTGGTTTTCACTTTGTGTAAACGACTTGAATATGCATAATTTACAAAGCCGAAAATAGTAACAATGGAGATTAAAATTATTTTTGAACTCACCCGCAAGGAGATATCCTTCGTCAGTCATTATTGAGTCGTTTTTGATACAATGCGTCCTATAAAAAAATATGAAGTTCACAATTCAAACAATAATAAGACGATTGTAGATGAGCAACAAAATTACCCTTTACGTGAATCGAACCAAGTATTTCTCGCTTTGCAGTCGGGTGCGTTTGCAGCGCGCCATCACAAAATCGTGTATTCGCTTCGTATTTGCTACCACGAGCATCAAATACAATCGTAGCTACTCACATGAGGTTATTCGTTGTGTCGTCGTTGGTAGCATGTTGGACGCTGATACCGAATGTGTTGTGACGTGTGTTCGATTCATGGTGCCGCCTCCTCGCGGCTCGCCAGAAAGTTTGATAAACGTAATAATTAAATACATTTATTACTTCTGTAGGATTCTTACCCGGTGTGTGTTTGTTGTTTAATCAACATAAATTTTTCCGTAGACAGGCACTCTTATATGCTTTTAGGTAGTACAATGTAATACGTATTTAACTATTTAATTTGCAATTTCTTCTCTTTTATGTGTTTTTTTTTCTTTTTAAGAGACTGAAATATATAGTACCGTAGACTTACGCACCTTAGAAATAAAAATTAATAATTTTAAACATATATTTGTATGATATTGTATTTTTAATAAAATCCAGTTACTTTTGCGAAAAGACTTTATCGAATATAAATTTTAAAGACATACATATTGATTCGTTGCCGAAAAAAATTACAAAAATGACAACTTTATACTTTTACCTCAGATGGGACTCGAACCCACAATCCTCGGCTTAGGAGGCCGATGCCTTATCCATTAGGCCACTGAGGCGGTGAACACTGTGAGAGCTAAGAGCATATATAAGAGCAAAGCATCAAGGAAAATGCCTTAACAGTTGATGCATATGTATATTTAGCTTAAATGAAATTCCGTTTTAGTCTAATACGTGTAGAACAGCTGTTTTATAGCAAACACATTATTTACCTACGCTTATTTCAATAATTGTTTGGCTCAGATGCGGGCCAACAGCTGGGCATACACTTGGCATTGAGTGAGACGTTGAAAGGTCTTTGGGAAATGTTTACCTTTTGGCAAAGCAAATGGCTCAAATAATGCGGCCATGTGTATGTGCATATATCATATGATAAATCAACGTCACTTAGCGCTCATTGGTAATTCACTTTGAGAACTACCTAGACCAAAATGTCAACGCCAACAGTTTGCGGCCGAATCAGTCAGCCAAGAGCTGGGACAGTGAGAGAGAAAGAAGGGACAGAGAGTAAGAGTTGCGCTACACACGAAGACATATCATTTATATCAATTTAAATAACGACCTTTCAATGCTTCGAAGAGCAAAGCACGAAAAATCCCTTAATCAAATGCTTAAAAAGCTCAACAAAACACCTTTTGCGTAAGGGTAAGGGAAATAGTCCTTTGAGTGACCAGAGCAGCAAGTAAGGACCCTTACACACACACACCCACACGCACATACACACTCAATGCTTAGATGGATGGTCCGACGAGCTATTGACAGTTGTAAGCCATAAACCACAGAAAATTGGGCATTATATTAGTTAAGATGCTGTCAAGCTGAAAGATATCTCAGGCTTTGGGCTTATGGGTAAGGGGGCGGCATGAACCCTGGACAGGGGCGTGGCGTCAACTCCAAAGTGAGCCCAAACGCAGCCGCAGCGCAGACATATCGCTTTCAACAAGCGATACATAGCGGTGGCCAACGTATCCGTTTCCGTATCTCCATCTGTGGGCCAACACACCGTTTGACAGGCAACGAAAGGCGGAAATCGAAATAGAAACAGAAGCGCACAGAACCTGAATCCGAGCCCAACACCACCAGCAGCCGAATCTGGAATAAACAGAGTGGCCAGCGGGCAAGTAGATAAGCAAACGCATTCATCTTACTGAAAGAGAAGTCGACTGGCCCGGCATAGGCAAAAATAAGTCCGGACACAAGTTGTCCCGCCGTGTTCGAGAGCTATGTGAGCATTAAGGGCTTTAAGATATTTCAACTGGCTGCTAACTCTGTGCGTATCTGCGAGTTATCCTGACAGTAGCTGCTGCACTTGCACTGCTTGTTAAGAGTTAAGAGTATCTTTTACTTTGGCAATGCACAAATCATAGCAAGCTTTGTGTTAAATTGTTTCCCGTTGTTTTTAAAAATTCATGGCTTGTTTCTTTGTACTTGCTTTCCTGTGCTATTGTGTTCTTTTAGCCACTTTCCTTATCTTGGCCACACTTTTATTGGCCGCTTTATTTGGCAATGCCACCGCTATAATTCACAACAAAAACCCAAGATAAGCGGAAACAGTTTGCGGTTGCCCTACGAATGCATGCGAATTAGTTTCTCGCCATTTTTGAGTGGGGCGAACTGAGCTAAAAACCGACAGACGGGCTAGCAGCAGGACATGCTAACCAACAATTTGCTTAGTCTTGCTTTAAATATTTACATTTTGGCAAGCTAAAGCTGAGTGTATTTGTTTTGTTTGGGTAAAGCATACTAAATGAAAATGTTTGTATGTTTTTTATACATTTTTTTTAAAAAATTTAAAAAACTTTTAGATAGGTTTGGGACAATATTTTATGTGATTACTCTATGTGATATCAGCCAAAAGGTTTCCTTTAGTTAAAATACAATTATGAAGACTCTTCTAAGCAGAATTAATATTCTGTCGTGAATTTTGTAAACACTTGAAAAACAACAAGGCAAATTAATTATTTTATATTGTAAACTCGTTGCTTTTACAAATTTACGTTTATTTTTTCATTTGGCGTCAGCTCGTGTCATTCATTTACTTATGGGTGACCAAGTTTGGCTAATCGCAATACACTTAGTTCTAAATGATATTCTTGCCGCTATCCAACACTGGATGCTGTGGTGGTGTTCTTTTATAAGCTTATTGGAATACTACAGTCACAATTCCATTTAACATTCATAAAAAATTTTACGACTTTTTTTTATTATTTTCGTCTTGAATTTTGTAGCTTTCTTGTGACTAACTATTTATTTCCAGGACATTCCAGTACAAAAAATATAGACTAACAATTCGAAATACATATAATTAATATTAAATTTGTTCAAGCGAAAAACATATGTACATTCATTGAAATAAGTAGAGCTCATAACTGTTGGGTGCGATTACTCTCTGAAGAGTCCTATTTCATTTTATCGATAAGATGTTCCGTAATGTTCGTTGCGCCCATTTGTCGAAAAAGGCAATATTTTTTGGCCAATTTCGTTTGGCAGTTAGCGCATCTTTTAACAAAATTCGGGCCATTAAATTATTTATGCGGCAACATCACTTAAATTTATATGCATGCACTTGTACTCGTATTAGCAGCTTCAGCCATGGCCAGAATCTGTGTGCCTGTATCTTTGGCTGTAGCTGTATCTGTAGACGAAAGCGAGTGGCACCTACAGCAAATATCTTTGAGCGGCATAAATTCGTAAATGGCCGCGCTGGCAATTAAAATGCTGCCACAATCGTAACTCAAATGTTCCGGCGGTATCTGACAGATATTTACGGGCTGGTTGTACTGGCTAGGATGTGATGGAGGTGGCCGTAAAGATGGCCTGGCACGCATCTTGGGGCTGCACTTAATGGGCTCCCATTCGTAGATTTCGTCAACGTTCTCTGCACTTTATGACTTATTGGGCGTTCGCGTATGCAACACAAGCGTAAAAGAAATTCTCTAAAACGTTTTCACTTAATCAAAGAAACAAATGGGCCTTGTTTCGAATATGCATTATGATAATATTAATTACTTGCCATAACTTACAGGCCCAAAACGCTCTTCACTTACCACCCAGACGCAGGTGTTATGCCAGGTCCGTGGGATTTGTGAGGCCCGGCCAAACAAATTGCGCTGCAATCATTCAAAGCCAACGCACCCGCAAGTATTGTGCTCATTCGAAGCACCCCTCGTCGGGTTGAATAACTCAATGAGTGCGGCAGGGATTCGCTTTAAATGAAAGTGAATGCTTGCAGGGGTGGCGAATTGGGCCTTGTTGCTTGCCTCGGGCATGTTAATTATTTAGAGAGCAATGCAGATTTATTTACTAAACTGTTAAGCCTCTCTGTTGTGTCTCTTCTTTTTTGTTCTTGTCATTGTTTGCCCTTTTGTTGATGCATGTTTTGTTGTTCCAAGTATTCCGGTATACCCTTATAGGGGGTAGTTCAGTTTTTTCATGAAATGTGCATCTGAATGTTATACTTTCTGTGCATATTATAAGCACGCCCATTTTTAAAGCTTGTTTCAAAATGCAAACCAATTTAGTCATAAATGTATAATTTAATTAAAATTCTCTTTGCATTGAATCAATCAGTACCTTCTAATCTCTACCAACTGAAAGACTGTGAAAGATTGGTATATTTACAATGTTTTCTAGCATGTATGGTATTTACATATACAAAGTGGTAAGACAATGATAAGATCTAAATGATTCGCCTCATAGCAGCTTGTTTATTGAAGTGAGCAGATAAAAAATGTGAAATAACAAAATTTGGTGGCTTCGACTCATTTTCCTTTTTGATTACTATAACAAACAGTTAACACAGTTTTTGTGGTTTCCATTGACAGCTAGAGTGTTTCATCTTCGTTAGATTTTTTTGCATTTTGCACATTACAATGTTTTATCACTTTTTTTTTCTATTTTTCGAGCTGGTTTCAGCCTAAGGCAATGCGTCATGCTAGCTGAAGGATCTGCATGAAGGAACAATGTTAAAGACTGTTACACAGTAGTTGTCACAGATAATACAAATATTAAAGTAATTGCTAAGCGTAAAGAAATAATTGTATTAATTTTTTAAAAATCGAAATGACAAAAAACGTTTGAACGTGTTGGGCAGCATACCTTAAGTATACTTAGCTGTGAGAAACAGTTCGGACTGCTTCAAACAAAGTAACCAAGTAACCAAGTAACTCTGGATTCCGCCCTTGTTGTTGCCATATATAACTTACTTGTGTTTGCTGTGCCACATATCAGCTTATGCCCGCCTCTGCGCACTTGTTGTGTTTGCCTTACTCTCAGTGTGTGTGTGTGGGTGTTTGGTAGGCGTTTCAAGTTACTTTCTGTGTAGCACTTGTTTCGGTGCTAGATTTATGTCATTTCTCGTGCAGTTTATTTCTGTTTCTGAAAATTTTTCTGGTCACTTCTTCGACAAAACAAGTACTTTATTTGCTTAACATGGCTTTGTTTGCCTTTCTTTCAGCCACATTCTGAGTAAAGTTGTCGCAAATAATACTACAAATGAACAACAAAGGAGGCCAACCCGTAATTCCTTGTGATTTATTATGCACACATATTACTTGGGCCTTTCAATGGACAATTTGCTACAGCTGTATTACTTCTTATGTACTTTGAGCAGTTTACAACACTTTCGATTGCAATTAAGCACTCTGATTTAGCACTGTTTTTGCTGTACTCGAATATGTAGTCCAATCTTTAAGAGTTAAATTTATTTTAACAGAAACATTAGTGAGATATCCGAAACTGCTTTGGGAATTATTTGGATTTCGTCAATTACATAAATTAAATTTATAATGAAATGCAATTGAACATATTCGAACTAAAACTTGGTCTTATAACTAGATTCAAGACCCGAACCTGAGGGCGAGGTATTCGTCAACTATCGTAATTATTTTCAGAATAATAATAATCTTTTAAGGTATTTTAGCAAAAAAGGATATATATATATGTTTCTCAAAGCGCTTAAGAATTTATACCTTAAGAGCATTGACTGAATAATTTATTGCCAAAGACTGATTTCAATTATGGCCAATCCAAGGGAGTGGTTTTTGAGCTTTACGTGGAAGAACTCTAATGAGAACATCCTTATGGTGCTCTGCCCAGACTTAAGTCATATTTAGTTGCTGTGGAGAAGTAGAACATGAAAGAAAAACTCATGTAGCTATTGCATTTCTTAGCTTTTTTTAAATTTTTATTTTGCATCATCGTTTTCTTCAGTCTTCGTATAAGAAATAACATTTTGTTTGTATTTGTGTATGTGAATTTTGTTGTTGCCGCAATTTCCAGTGTCTATCATATATATAATTTAATTAAATACTTTAGCATATATTATTATTTAAACTTACGCATGTCTGCTATCGTTTTATACACACACATTTCATGGTTTTATTTATGTTTCAATTCTCCTTGCACTGAATCAAACAAATGCATTTTAGTTGCATTTGCTCAGCTCTTTGCTTTTGATTTACCTTAATTTATGGTTTTTCTATTTTATGTTGTTTATTTTTATATGCATTTGTTGATTTCAGATTGTTTTGTCTTTCTATTTATTCGGAACAATTTTTATGCAAATTGTAGTTCCAGTGGGGCTTCTATTTGCTTTGCTGTTCACGCATGCAATTATGAGTAAATTATGGTGCCAACAAATTTTGCAAGCTAAAGAACTGAAAATAACAAAAAATTGTGAATTCTTTTAACTTAATTGCTCAAAAAAATTGCTTTCATATGCGCATTCTTGTATTTTATTTTTGCTTCATAACTTGGCTTTTTCACTTTGTAATTTTATACAATTTTGCGTTTGACTAAGTTTAAATGTAAGAATAAATTATGTACAAAATGTATGCAAAATATGCTTAGTTTGTGCTTGAGTCGAGTTTTTCTTTATCTTTTTATTTTGTTTATATGTATTTACAAATCAATTTTGATTATGTGTTAGGCCAACTTTGAGTTAGAGCGCTGCTCAGCGCAGCTCCCCAAAAAATAAAATATACTAAATTGAATTTTGCTTAAGCTTACACTTTTTATATATTGTCATCTTATTTGTGTTTATTTTTTTAATATATATATTTTTTTAATTTCGAATATAATCTGCTAGAATTGAGTGCCGCATTAGCTGCTGCATGTAACTAAATTTCGTCTGGCATTTCTGGCATAATATTCATGTGCGTTTTGTTTCTGGATCGGAATATTGAAAAATGGACTGTTTTTGGTCCCCGTTTTGCACCAGTTGCCGATACTGAAATACATTCTATTTAGTTACTGGCACAACTAATGCTTTGTCAAGCTATGAAATTAAATTGGAACTTAAGAGTTTTATCAAAAATGTCGCATATACAATAAGAATTAAGAATAAATAGTTAACTAAGTTATTTGTTGCACTTTGCAATGCAATTGTCGTTCCTTACGCTCTCTATTTATGTTTATTAAATTCTGTTAAATGCGCCTAACAACTATATTCTATTTATCATTAGAATGCTGAATGCCTTTAACTATGAGTGGGCTTCTCCCTGTGGAGATTTCTTGCTTAGCTTTACTTTCGCTGTGGGAGAGTGAGAAATAGAGAGAATTTCAACTATCGCTAATATTAATATTTCTTTGAATTTGTATGTTAGCTTAGTACTTAATATGACATATCTGTTAGGTTTAGTTATTCAATATATATATATATATATATATATTTTAAATGCTAATAATATTATAGTATGCTGCTATACACGTAGATATATCCCTTGTTTCATTTGACGCTTGTTAAACTTTGTTGCGAGTTATCAAATTCACGTTTTCAACTCAAACTCGAACCTAAACTGAAAAATTAAGGACATCTAAACATAACCTCACTTAAACACAAAACCTAACCTCATTTTTGAGTGGTGCACACACGTATCCGCTGCGAATTTCCCTGTTTTCAAAAGTGAGCGCTGTCCTTGGTCTGGCACTGCGCATAGCTGCGATAGTTGTTGTTGGTCAGACCTAGGCCCACCAGTTCCATGCCCAGGTCCAGCTGCTTTTGTTGCTTCTGAACACCAGCACCGCCACGTCCACGTCATACGTAGACCACATGTGGCTTGGCGCCAGCGCCAGCGGCGGATGCGGCTGCCGCCACAGCGCTGCCTTGAAGCGCGGCCGCCTGCTTCAGCTTGGTCATGGTGTGTGTATCCGGGTACTCGTAGTGATCAAAGCGTTCGTATAGATGCTCCGGCTCATCGTCTGCCTCCTTGACGGGCAGTTCCCAGGGCTTGAGTGCTCGGTACTCGTTGGCAATGGTCTGTGCCGCCAGATAGCGCTCAAGCTCCAGCTTGTCCAGCTGTGGCAGCGTCGTCTGCTGATACTCGTGGTGCCCGCCCCCGGTATGCGCCTGCAGTGGCATCGCCTGATGGTAGTGATGATGCGCCTGGAGCGTTTGGGCATGATGCGGATAGTTCAGGGCCATGCCCAAGCCGCCAGGCCCGGAGCCGCCCAACGTCATGCTCATGCCCGCACCACTGCCCAGCGGCTGATGATGACCCTGCAGTATGCGGTCGTGCACATTGATGATGCTCTTGCTGGTCCGCAGCGGGCCACGCTCGTGCAGCAGCTTGCGCCGGCGCTTCACAAAGCGCATATAGTAGAGCACACTGACGCCGATCATGAGCACCAGGAGGCTGGTGATCACCGCACACACCACGGTCACAATGTGCGCCGGACAGGTGATTTCGCCCTCACTCATTGTCATCAGCTGGCGGCGCGTGCGGACTGTGTCTCGCCAGATGTCGCAGCCGATCTGCTGCTTATCCATGCGCAGGTAGCCTGAGCTGCTGCTCGAGCTGGAGCTAGCGGCCGCCTCCAAACGTTGTTCGTACGCACTCGGCTCGGTGGTTTGCAGCGCATTCGCAATGTGCTGCTCAGCTATATAGGCCGCCAGGACAGATACACCGTCATCCGACTTGAGCGTCGTGTCGTCCTCTTCTCTGACAAGCGATGCCTCTTTGGCCAGCGCGGCCACAGCTCCGCCTGGTGCATGCTCCAGCGGCGGCTCAGAGCCTTCAAAGTTGCCGGTGACGAGGCGCCACAACCAGAGCAGCGAGCAGTTGCACTGCAGCGGATTGTCGCCCAGGTATAGCTTCTGCAGCTGGTCCACCGGAAACTGGGCCGAGTAGAGTGTCTGCAAGCTGTTGCTCTGCATGTACACCTCCAGTATGTTGGGATTGCCTTGGAACAGGCGCATGGGTATGTCGCTCAGTTGGGGATTAAAGTTCAGGTGGAGCGTCTGCAGATGCGTGTTGTCCACGAAGGCTCTGCAAGAGAATAGTAAAAATACTCTGTAGTGGAAATAAATGCAATAAACTAAGCACACATTCTATGGCCACAACTTAATTACCCACGTGTCTTCTTATTTTATAGGTATACATAAACTATCTAGTGAGCACGAATGACAATTTTCCACAGTCTCGCTAAGAATTTGATCACTCTTTTTTTACAGCTTAGAAAATAAATTTGAAACCGATCGAAAGATCGAGCGTTGGATGTGATCTCCATTTTGCGCCCAGGAGAGTGGATTTATGTCTGTTAAGAATTTTAATGGAAACGAGTAAGAAACGGAAACTTTGCTCTGAAATCATTATTAGAAAGGTTTTGGAAACAAATTTCACGTTAAGCGAATAGTGAACAAAAAGTTTCATTTAACTGTTTTCCACCAATTTTCCTCAGTTGAGTGTGAAACTCCGCACGCCACAGCTTGTACTTACATAAAACTAGATAGCTAATATAAAGAAATACTGCATGTAAAATTTTAGTTTTTTGCATTAAAAAAGCTCGACTCAAAATAAACAATCCTGACGGTTTTAAAACAATTTAGCGACATGTACACACACACACACTCATACACATATATTAGCTTTTACCAAGGCGACACACAGTTGCGTGCGTCTGTGAGTGGAGCGATGTACTTTGTGGATATACGAGACTATTCTTGTTGGTTGTTCATTTTAATTATGCAGAATGCTATGCATCAACGTTAAACTTAAATGCCAGGCAATGAAATACATGAATAGACACACACACACACACGCAGCGCGGCAGTCTTGTTGGCCCTTTATCCACATGGCGTCGTCTTTAGCGACGTGGATTTATTTAGCCTGCGTCTATTTCAACCTAATAATAGAAAGAGTGAGAGAGAGAGAAAAAAAGAAACATACTCCCTTGCTGTATGTTCCACGTTGCAAGCTTCGTGTCGCAGCTGCATGAAGCGTTGCCGTAAATCCCTGCCAAGTTAAGTCAACGTCGCAAAGTCGCTGACTGCAGCACTTGCAGTTGCTGCAGCAGCTGCAGACAGTGCATTACCTATAACATACCCCCCACCAGTCGCTCGCAGTCTCAGCATGAAATAAGTGCAACGTGGCGTATGAGCAACTTACCAACTTCTGCCGCTGCCGCTGCCGCTGCTGTTGCTTCTGCTGCAGCAGGAACAGGCGACGACTCGCTGGCTGCTCCGCTGACACACTGCGAATTTGTCGCTTTTAAGCGATTTATATTTTTTCTTACACTACTCTACAGCATTGCATTTGATTTGATTTGATTCGAGCCCTTAAGTTGCATTTCGTGTTAAATGAACGCATTTATACGAGCTGCGCTCCCTGCTGAACTTTGCGGTGCAGCCCGTGCATTGGTTTGACAAGTAGCGCAGTTTCGTTGGCGCCTCTTAAACCCATTTGTATGCAGCAGTTAGTTTACGACTGATTGCTGCCAGTTGGACTTACATATTAGCTGTGATGTATTTGCCACCAGACGCGGTGTGCCGGCATTTTTGTGGTTGAAAGTGTGAAATCAAGGGCAGGAATTTGATAGAAAGGTATTTTTTAAGATCTTCATGAAATATTAAGAAATATATATTTCAACCTTGTCGGAGATTTAAATTTCAGTTAAATTTCCAGAAAATTTATTAACTCAATTGTCTTCAGCTCTGAATTTAACGTAAGGGAGTTTCATATATGTATGTGATGGGACATTCATATCCTCAAATCATATTTGACTGGTTATAATTTTGCTTTAAATCAAATTAAAATCTAGTTTGAATTGCGTATGGCAAGCTGTAATCAGACATTGCGAAAATAATATCATACTTTAAAGTCAACACATGAGTTTGAATAATAAACCCACACCAGACGGAACTTCCTAGACAAAACAAACGAATCTCTGCCACGCTGAACGTTCAATTTCATGGCAAGTTAAGCATTCAAAAACTTCAATTGCAGGCGCTTAAAAATTTTGCCATTATCTGCACAGTCAGAGACCAGACAAAACTTCCCCTTGCAGAAAAAAAGTTCACTCCAGTTTAGCGATTTAGCGTGCAGGGGCTAAGAATACAAATTCAATTATTTGTGCAAATATTATGCAAATAGTGCAGGGAGCCAAACACTTGGCCGCAAGAAACGTGACATTGGCGCGGATTTCATTTGGATCTGGCCGGGATACCTTTGCAGGCACCAGCCTGAGCCACCCGATGCTACAGGTCGCTACCTGCTGCTGAACGCTCTTTAAATGCCGCTTTGGCAACGCCCAAGGCACACGCAAAAGGGTGGCGACTACATGGCAAATTTTGCTGAAGGCTCAAGGGAGTGGGGCTTAGAGGGTTCGCCTCTTTGACTGCCAACAACAGCAACAGCCTTTTTGCTGTACTGCGCCCGGATTCAAACTTCATTTTGTGTAGCGTTCAATTTTTTTTTTAGTCTATGCGGGTGTCGCCATTTTTGAATACCCTACACATGGAAGATTTAATTATTGAGGCTTTTTGCTTGTTAAATTCTTGTGAGAGCGGCTGTAAAAGAAAGCCACAGATTGACACAGATTGACTCGTGGCTTATTCAAGCAACCATTTTATAGCCCATAATATATTAAGATGCTATACAGCTGCAAATATAAGTATATCATGCTTCTAATACAGGGTATTTGCCGTCGATAAGTCTAGACTGAAGTGTTCAACTTGTTTTCATATGTGTTGTTTCTGTTGCTTTTGCCAGCGTCAAGCGTGCGGAAACGGAAATGGTTGCCATGTGTGTGTGTGTGTGTGTGAGTGAGAGTGTGAGTGTGTATATTTGTGGGTGTATAAACAGTCGAAAATGTTGTTGTTCTCTTTTCTTACTTTTATTTTTCGGCCAGCTTATATGCAAATTGCTTTGTGAATGTGTGTGTGTGTGTGTGTGGGTGTGTGTTGCGTCAGAATTGGAATTGCTGGAAATCGGATTGAAATGTTTGCTGTCCATGTTCGTCGGGTTCAGTCACGTTTCCCGATTCCGGGCCTCAGACCAGAGACCAGTCAGAAAGTTCAGTCACACGACCAGCTATTACTGCAATAGTAAAGCAACTGATGAACAGTCAATCAGTCAGTCTGTCATATAGTTTGTCAGCCAGTCAGTCAGTCAATCAAAGGATATGTTGTATCCCGTTTCCATATAGTTTTTGAATCTTGCATGCGGCTATCTGCACCTTTGTGTTTGTGTGTCTGTGTCTGTGTGTGTGTGCGAGTGTGTGGGGAGTTTGTTGGAGTAAATCCGGTCTATTCAATTGATTGACATTTTTACTACAATAAATAGAGAGATATGACAGTCGATAGCCCCAAAGGGAAACCTATTTTGCCAACTGCATTGAGCCTTGATTTAGCTGTTGATTTATTGAGTTCTGCTGCGCTGACAGTTGAATAAAAAATGGAATTAAAGAGCCATTTGAAGCTTTAAAGACATTGCAGCATTTGCAATGACGCCCAAGCAATTATTAACTAATTGCCATAAACACACACAAACACATTCGCAATTTGTGGCGCTTAGCCCACGACAAATTATCATATGATATGCCTAAAGTATTTGTTAATGGCATTTTAAACGCTTTTAAATTGCGCATACGCCCCGTTTAACCTTTAATTTTCGTTCATGGGAAACGCGATGCCAACGCGAATAAAACGGCTGGCACAAAATGTTGTATTAGGTTCACGGTAAAGCCCACAATATGTGTATGCAAGGACCCAAATGAGGGACTGCCTACAGTTGTTATGGCTTGCAATTATAAATTATGCAGAAACACAAGCTAAACAGGTTTAAGTGCAGCGCAAATAATGTTGAAAATTATAGAAAATATATTGACATAAAAATAAATAATAATAAGATAAAGTGGGAGAGGTTTGAAAGAAGTAAAACACTTAAGGGCTTTAAGTTACTTTTACTAATTAAGAGGCTATTTAGGTAAAAGCCGATTTTTTTAAATACTTTAATTAAATAATTGTCCAAAGAAAGGTTGCTGGCGGAGCTGTTTTTAGCCTGTTGTTGCTTGCATAATTTATAAATGTCTTGAAATTCAAGTGCAATGCAGTGAGCGATGGCAATTACCCAGCGAGTGCTGCCCCCCTCCCTCTTGCTTGGGCATGCATATGCATAAATATAGAGGCTTAGACTTGGACTATCTCCCTCTCGCTCTCAGTCTCTCTCGCTCTTTTCAGTCTCTATAAGAATGCAAATACGCTTTTCGCATACACAAGCATGAGCATAAACACACGCATAATAGCTACTCACGAGGCTGCCTTGAAATATTTCCAGGCTCATAATTTATGGAAAAATTGCCGGCCTGACGGAGCGGTGGCAATGGCGACGTTTGCGGGGGCGGGGCAGTTAGGCAGGCAGCAGCATGCTTATGTTTTCCTGTTTCCGTAATTTCTTCCTGTTTTCATTTTGCAGCTGTTGTTGCTGCTGCCTTTTTTCTTGGCACTCTTCGCTCTCACTCACAAAATATGCTTATGAACATAAAATTATGCATTGCGTACTTTTGTGTGCTGCAGCTGCTTTGACGCCCCTTTTTGGGAAAGCAGGGGCGTGTGTGGTTAGGGTGTGTATGGGGTTCAAGTTTAGCTTTATTTGTTTACTTGCACTCATTTCTTGACACTCTTGTCGCTGTTGCACACCATGTGAGACGCTTTAAAAAAAAAAAAAAATAAATAACCAGCCACTACCTGTTGACTTATTAGAGTTGTGTGAAAAGATCAGCTTGTACCTTCAACGTAAATGAAATCAGCTCATTTTAGCAATGATAATGAACTCTTGTCAAATAACATAACAAGCTGCTTTATCTTATCGAGCTAAAGCTGAACCTGTTATTGACATGCACTACCGTCGGAAATGGTTATTTAACCCATAAATACCCTTAATTAATCGCTAACTTCTTGGAACTGATAGGTCAGTTGCATTTGGGTTTGTCAAGGTGCTGATAACAATAATTTTGACTTATAGAATTCTTATAAAAAGTGTGGATTCCATTTCGCTCGATTCAGTTGTTTTTTGGTCTCCGCTGTAGTCCAACATGAGGGCAGCAATTGCATTTCTGGCACTTATCGGTATCGTTCAGGCCATTTCCTACGCAGACGTGCTGGAGGCGGAGTGGGAAACCTTTAAGGTGGAGTACGAGAAGAGCTACGAAAGCGAAGACGAGGAGTTGCTGCGCAAATTAATTTTCTATGATAACAAGAAGACGGTCGATAAACATAATATACGTTAGGCAAGGAGGCCTACGAAATGGGCGTGAATCAGTTTACGGATATGCTGCCCAAGGAGTTTGAGGGCCTGATGCTAACTAGCATCAATTTAACGGATGCCACATCCGATATAGACATTATATATTCAGCACCTGAAAACACTGAAATACCCAGCTCTATCGACTGGCGCGTGAAGGGTGCAGTCACCTCAGTGAAGAATCAGGGCAAGTGCGGCTCCTGCTGGGCATTCTCCGCAGTGGGCACCTTGGAGGGTCAGCAATTCTTAAAGACTCGACAACTGAAGTCGCTGTCCACACAGAATTTGCTGGACTGCTCAAGTCGATATCCCTATAGCAATCAGGGCTGCAATGGCGGAATTCCACTAGAAGCTCTAATCTATGTTAAGGACAATGGTGGCATCGATATCGAAAGTTCCTATCCCTATGATAGTCGTCAGCTTTCGTGTCGTTTCGATCGACACAATGTTGGCGCCACAGTCAGCGCCGTCGTGAGATTGACGGAGGGCGATGAATCGAATTTGGCTGTTGCCACTGCAACCAAGGGTCCAATTTCGGTGCTCATCCATGTTGGCCAGACTTTTATGCAATATCATGGTGGCGTCTATAAGGACAACTCCTGCAACAAATACTTCAATCATGCCGTTCTGGTTGTGGGCTACGGTCATGACAGCCGCGAGGGCGATTATTGGCTGGTGAAAAACTCCTGGGGCAGCAAATGGGGTGAATCGGGCTATATACGTATGGCACGCAACAGAAACAACCAGTGCCGAATCGCCAGCTATGCCATTTTTCCTTTGGTCTAACGATTTGTAGATATTTATCATTATGTGGTTATCGCGTTCGTTTAAATAAAGAGGAAACTACCTACACTGTGTAATTAACTTTTCTATTCAACTTTAAATGCACTCGATATAAAAGTGAATTAGCACCAGATTTGGACCTGCAAATGGCGTGAGTGCCACTCGTTGCTGGACATTTTAAGTACTCGCTAAGCACTTGCACAAACAACACAGCCACAATGAAAAATAACGAACGAGAACATTAAACAATGAACACTTGTAATTTGCACATAATCATGTGTGTTGTTGTGATAAAATAAAACAAAACACCAAATTGTCAGCAAGTGTTGGTGTATGTGTGGGAATGTCGCCTAATTAAAATCGAGGCATTTAAAACTGTCTTTAAAAATTGTGTAAAAAAGTAAAAATGTTACAATCGGTCTAATATGCGTCTAATAACAGGTTGTCCTGAAACTTAAATTTTAAGAGACCACGTTTTTCCCCCGTGAGCGTAGTCAAAATAGTTTTGAATCTTTCTTAAGGTACGGTCTAATCGGTGAGTTTAGCTGTGGAAGATCTGATGCGAATATACTCGTGTATATATTCCAAATTTTAAGTTTCTAGCGTTAAGAGCAACGCAGAAAATTGTGAATATACGAACGGACCAATAGATGGGCCTTACACTTAGCACTACTTCATCACATTGAAGGTTTATTTTAAGTTATTTTTTTTTGAGTTGCCAGAAAATAACTTAAATAAAGTTGCTCATAAATACAAAAACAGCTTAATTTCCCTTAATGATTTGTTTGAAGACAAATATCTAATTCACTCGATTCGGTTACTTTTTGCACGTATTTTATATTCCTTGGAATAGTCATCTTTCAGCTACAAATTATTCATGATTGAGATGATCTGTCACATTCAATGCGATGTCCAAAATTGCATCACATTCCACACCATTAGACACAAAATCTATTTGCTCTAGGCCGTCCTGCAGTTCTTTCATAATTCAATTCAGAAAAGCAGCAACAGCCAACTCCGCTACGCCGGGATAAGCTGCCACAGACCCGGACTCCTCAGCAAATTACAACCCCAAAGCTGCCGCAGAACCAAATGCCCAAACTGCCGGCTCGCAATGCGAATCGCATTACAACTCCAAGCGGGCAAATGAAGTCAGCTTGTGCTCAGCTCGGCACGGAATGCATAAATTTTAAAACAATTAGTTTCAATTTTGGAACCCGCTATGACAAACCGTTCAAATGAGCTGGGCAACACCTTTCGGGTTATCCCTTTTGGGGCAGATACAAGTGTTAATGTAGCGAATGACTTTTAGCTATTAAGTCATACAGCGGATGCTGGCTGGGACTGGCACAGCCTCCGTTCGGTGTAAAAATGTTCACTTAATATTCCCTTTGATATGCTCAAGTGCTGCCAGCGGGCCGAGGGGAATGCTCCACCGCTGCTGCTACTGCTGGGGGAGGGCTGTTTGCTTTGGGGGAGGTGCGTGCCATTGCCTAATGAATTTTGTGAGCGCGCGTTGATTGTTCGGGTGTAAGGTTTTTATAATGAGACAACCTCAGCGCAACACATGTGTATCTCGCAGTTTGCGAAATGTATCTGCCATAAACTTTGCTATCAACATGTCGCCATCGTCGCACGTCGTGGCCCTTTCCTGGCCGTGCCCGCGTTCAGGTTTGGGGTGAGTTTCCATTAACGCATTTGCATAAATATTTACATACATGTGTAGAGACACAGCTCAGCCGAGGCATGTCTCGGCCTTTAATGCAGCGCCCGTCTAAACTTTAAAATGTTGCGCTATTTCCGTTCACTTTTTTAAAGGGTGTCTGACAATTTGTCTGGAACCCTTTTGCATAAGCCGCAGACTTGTTTGTGCTTCTGTCGAAAGCAGCCAGCCCCTCACATATATAGCTCCAGTCTTAAGTTAGTGAAATATAATTTCCTGCTTGTTGTGGAAATTTTTAATCTACGGAAGGAAATGGGAATAAAGTTTAACTATGTGCTGCCAACAGCAATGTCGGCAAGCGATTGATTCTGATGTTAAAGTTGGGCGAGGAGCGGGGACAAATCAGCTAAATTACATTTAAGATTTGCAGTCAATATATAAGCTGGATACATTATAGTTGGAACTTGGGTCCTCCTATGACTCATGCAGATGGAGTACTTTTTTCACTGAATTTCCATGAAATTAATAAGCATCGATTTGAAATATTGTTTTTGACCATATCTTAATTCCGGAAGTAGGCTCTATTAGAGTATTAAAAAATACAGTATTTTTAATTTTTTGGATACACGCCCTGCAGTACAGGATATCTCCTCATCAGGCATGCCCTAGCAACTTTAACTATTGGTAAGTTAACAAGGTGCCAGTAATAGCATCCTTGGATCCTTCACCTTGTTGAAGAAAGAAGCAAATCGCATAGACGTAGTCAACTCTTAAATATGCCAATTTTTGGAGCAACATTTCCTTGCATATAGATACACTTTTTAGTAGACTTAACGGAGTTTCGACCTGCCCTAGAAGTATGCACCAATATGCTCAATAGTCTTACCCTCCTCTAGCACTCACTCCATTTTCATTTTCTGCGCTGCCAACAAAGAGAATAAGGTTGAAAATTCAAATTTTGCTATATTAGCATAAGATTTTGTGGCGGCGGCAAAGATTTGCCGACGTTTGAATAGCCCCCGAAAAACCAGCGGAGACAAACGCAAAATCTAGTTTGCAAATAAGGAAACATGTGTGTGTGTGGGTGAGTGTGTGGGTGTGTGTGACAGTGTGCTTGTGTGTAAGTGTTATGTAAATTTCAGTTAAGCAACAATTTGTCAGACAGCGAACAATGGCGAGGGAAAAGTTTGCAACAGGACTGAAACAGAAATCAAGCAAAATCAAACAAAAAGCTAAAGCAATTACAAAAGGCAAAAACTGAGTAGGGGGAGTGCCAGCAGGGGGAGGGGCTGGGGTTTGCTCTAAGTCAGACAAGAGAATCAAACGAAATTAAACTGATTTAATGGCATCTCTCCGTCATCTATGGATCCATTTACATGATTCGGGCTGCGAACGTTTCCCATGTAACTCATGTTAATGTTATTGTAGAACGAATCATAAGTGGGGGAAGGGTGGGGTGTGTGTGTGGGAAGGGGGGACTGATTGACAACCAAGTCGAGACTTTCGCACAGACAGAGGCTCCTTCGATGATGATTTGATATGAAAATTGCCTGGAATTATTGAATTAACATATGCTCGAATTGAGCTCAAGCATTTCAATGTCTGCTCCAGAGCGGGGCACTTGGAACTTGGGGGACATCAATTTGACTTTGTGATTGGTTGTGCGAGTATGTGTGTTGGTGTGTGTGTGTGTGTGTGTGTGTGTGTGTGCGCTGGCATCTTATTACCAAAGCGTATTAGACATGATTGATTGCATTGAGCAATAATGATTTGTAGCCGAGGCATGTTTAAGTGTCTTTCTGTGTGTGTGTGTGTGTGTGTGTGAGTGGCTGGTAGGTCACGTGCAAGTGTGTGAAAGTGAATTGCATAAATAGCTACTTTTGGAAAGCATTCCTCAGCGCCGTGAGTTGCACAAAAGGGATTACAAATCCCATTGCACGCTCTGGGTTTGATCTGCCTATTGAGGCAGATGATTAGCCTTGCCAAAGTATTGCATACTTTACTGGGTTTTAAGGGAAAGCCTATTAGGGCAGCGGCGCTTAGAGAAAGTGATAGAGAACTGCAAGCTTAACAAGTTTCTCTCTCCTCTCAGCTCAACAGAATTTAATTATTAAGTTCTTGAATGGCCTGCTTGAAGCTCCCACACACTATTAAGTACATGCATTTAAGTTCTATACGGAACAATTAACAACAAATAAATGTGGCTGCAAGCCAAACCAATATGTTATAAATCATCTTACAAGCTGTTGCATTATTTTGAATTCAGTGTGTTTAATTTTTTAAATTATCATTTAAAGCTGAAGCCGGCCTTTGTCACGTTGTGGATTTCAAACCAATTTAAGAAAGTTAACCTTATAAATTTATTCGCACGGAAAAGCAAAAGAACTGGGACTTAAATATGGAAGCAATATTGTTGGATAACACTTAAGCATATTTTTCAATGTAGAATATTCCAGCTAAAGTAAAAAGAAAAGTTTCAAAGGAAAAAAAATAAAATAAACAAAAAGAAAATTCTTTAATTCTTTTCAAGCCATGAATGTCAAAAAAGTTGTATAGGACAACCTGAGCGGGATGGCTGTCATTTCTATTTTTTATTTTTTTTTGAGAGCCTCATTATTATGTGCTGCAAAGTTTTGTTGTTTCTCTGAATTACTCTCACTTTGAGCAAACTGTTTGCTGTTGTCCAGTTTGCTGATTTTCCGTTTGCAGTTTCTCGGCAACTATTTGCTGTGTCTACATTTCATGGCGCTGACCCAGTTACCATCCGAAAAAGACATATATATGCACTAGAGTTTGTTAAGTATCTCTGTAACTTTTCTCAACTAGGGGTGCTGGGGCTGCCGGAGCATTTGAACTTTCACTCGGCTCGATGGCAACTTACCTAGAATCGATGCGCTGCAAATAGTCCAGGCGGCTCAAGTGCAATTCGCGCAAATGAAACAAGTTTAAAAATGCGACGGCGGGCAAGTGTGCAAAGCGATTGCCGCCCAAGTTCAAATAAGTGAGATTTGAAAGTTTCGAGAGCTGCTGGGTGGGTACCATCTGCAAAGAGAAAGACAGAGAGAAAACGAGCAACATGAGAAAGAGTAGCAAAAAATCATTTAATTTCGAGCGTTTAAACAAACTGAGAGCCAAGTTTGGGGAAGCCGGGCTTATAAAATGTTAATACCATCCACTCAGCTTTAAAAGCGTTTTGCGGCTGCACTTGATAGTTGCCATTTAGTTGCCCTTCGCTGTCTGCCTCCCCCACCCCCTCCACTGCGCATCCTGTTTATCCCTTTTAGTCCACCGCCAGCTTATATTTGTTTCTAAAAGCGCTGGCATTCAAAATGCTTCAAGGGCCGCGAGGGGGCAGTTTTCAGTGCTGTTCAACAATAAAATGTGAAACACTTGAAAAGCGCAGCTTTTGTCGGCGGCCGCGGCGGCGGCGGCGGCTACGTCAGCGGAAACGGAAACGTCATGTACGTCATGTACATCCGTGCGCCATTTTGTGATGTCTGGCCAAATCGCTTTATTGTCCGTGTGTATGTGTGTGTTGTAAATACAATCAATCTTGCAACAAATTTGTTAGGGTCACAACAATAGCAACAAAAGCTAAGTAATGTCTCGAGCGTGTGGCAAAAGGTTTTCCTAACTGTTTTGGCTCAGCTTTTGGCTGTTTTTTTTTCGAATGGCTCATAAAAAACTGTAGCTGTATTCCTTGCCCGACGCGTACGGCAAACCACCTACCACATGCAGCTGCTGGCGTGTCGGAAGCTACGTGCCAAGCGTCCGGACACGAGAAGCGCCTGCGATAACGTAATGAACTGCGTGGCGGGGGCAGGCCGTCAAGGGGAGCTGCGGAGCGTTTAAAGCGACCAAAGTGACAAGGCAAGCGCAAAGCAAGGAACAAAAATGAAAAGCATTACGCATACGCAATGTAGGCCAAGCGCTGCAATTGTTTAACCTAATGGCAATTTTCAGCTCACATTTTAACCCTTCGTGGGATCGCGGGACCTGCGCTCAGTGTTTGTACTGCACTCAAACGGGGCGTGCGGGCGGTTGACTAATTAAAAGGCTCGGGCATATACACATACAGTGGGGGAAGAGGACGGGGCAGGCAGGCTGCTTCTTTGGTAAGTTCGTTTGCCAGCGCAGCGCAGCGTGAAAAAAAAGCGAGGGTGCAAAAGGAACGTGGCGAGAGAAATTTATGTGGTTAGGGCGAGGGAAAGTGTAGGGAAAGGTAAGGTAAGGGGCAGCAAGGCACAGGCACGAGTGGCATAAAAGAAAGCGAAATTATATTGACTTTGATTTTCCAAATTAATTTCCCTTTTTTCCACTTCTCTTTGAATTAATGATTGCCATGGGGTTTCCTTTGGATACCTTTGCTCCAATTTTTATTGGATAACTTATTGCATCGCGCAGAGAACTCAATGTTTAATGCGAAGTGTTGAAATAAGAATTAAAGGTTGAACAATTCTTATTTTTTATACGCTCCTTATATTATAGATTGTGCCAAACGTAGCACAGAAACAAAAGCAGAAAATATTTCTGTATTTGATAAATATTTTAACATATAGTTTATGTAAATTGTGAAATTTTTCAGAGTTGAATAAATTGATTATAAATTCCGACATTCATTCTCTCCTTTTTATGCGTGTGCAGATGTTTTCGCAATTATTAGTATGTGGAAAATGCAAAATCATAATTCACAACTAAAAGCACAATAAATCGAAAACAACAAAATACCACAAAGTCGTAAACAAATGCCGATACGAATGCGGACACCCATGCACGGACGAGAGTATTTTTGTTAAATTGGGATTATGTAAAATAATGCATATGTAAATTTTACGCATTTTTGCTGTTATTTTAATTGTGAGAGTATTGAAAATCAAATATGTGCTTTTATTTATTCAACGGCACAGAATGTTTGCATAGAGCCCAAAGCAATGAGTTTTTATAGAAACTTTCCTCTATATAGAAACTCCCCATTTGTTTTCTTGCACACTGCCCGAACGTGTACGTGTACTGGTAATTAGGTTGATGATCGAGGTGCGATTATTAATTTTTAATTTTTAACTTCAATTCGACTCGCAGATGGTTAATAAGCCTGTCATCAAGAACAATTACAAAGAGCTTGACCTGTACTCGAGAAAGCCCCAGTTCGCATATCTTATCCGATCAATTTTTGATCATGCCTGATCCCCATAATATTCGACTTATTCAGACAGAATTAAATGTGTGAGGAAGAAAATTTTGTTTTTTGCCTCCCATAGATTAAGCTATGATCCTGGTATTCGATTACAAACATACTCCAGCCGACTCCTTATAGTTTATCTTCCTTCATAAATTGTTGTAATCTTTATTCATAATTAATTACTGTCCCTACTAGACTAGCACATAGTCTAGTTTATGCTATGCCATATACAACAAACAATATATGAAACATAATAAATAAATAGCAAATTGTATGCAATCTTTCAATTACACTATGCTGAGGTGAAATGTGGTCTCCGTCTCAAAGAGCAACACGCTTGATGTCCCTGTGACCATAAACACATCGACATAAAATTGGCAAGCCATCAGTTAAAGGCATTCTAGTGGGTGGGTGAGGAAAGGCACATGCCTGACATGGGCAGCAGACGGTAAGTCCGGAACTACTGTGTACCGAGTATGGACTGCATAGCTGAATGCATTTTTATGCACCATGTAATCACAGAGCATTTGTTGTTGCAGCCGTTGCTGCTGTTGCTGTGGCTGCAGCTGTTGTTGTTTTTGTTTTATGCAAACTGGCAACAGAGCTTGAGATGGAAAACAGCAGCCAACATGGCCGCAACCTGACGAATACATTGCGCACCTTTATAGGTCCACGTCTAGATACCAGTCTGGCCTGCACGCACAAGCGCACACATAGATTCACATACACACATAGATATATTTATGGTCGTGAAAAAGGAATAAAGGACTACTGAGCGCTAAGCACCACATGCCTGCCGTGGCCGAGGCTAAGCAGGTGGAGCTGCGCGTAGTCAACGGCAACCGACAGAAGAATTTATGGCGCTTGGAATCAGTTCGAAACTACTTAAAATACCTTTTGGCATTTTGCAGTTGAAATATATGGTTTCTGGTCGTGTGCACTGTGTACAGGCAATACCTAATGCTACGACCGGGTGCAGCAAGCTATGCAACGTCGTGCACCTCGATGTTCTGCTGCCCCATCCACCTCACCCCACTACGTCTTACTCCGCTCCTCTGGTCCGAGAACGGAACAAAAAAATTCATTTGACTGCTTTTTGGAGCTGCTTATCTTCAGCTGCCTGGCGACTTTGTTTTTAGCCGTTGCAGCATGTTCTGGTATTTCCTAAACTGCATTCCATTGTTACTTCTTGTGCTGCCCCTTTCCCTTTCCCTTTCCCTTCTGCCATGGGCCAGCTTGTTTTATTATGCGCAGACATGGTGGCAGTTGTTATAATGCAGCCATAAGCATAGGTTCTATCCGAGTGTGCTCCTGATCCCTGTTATGTATTGCACATGTATGGAGAGTGCATGAAATTTTTGCCTGCATCGTCATAGTTCTCCTTGGAAAGGGGCATTAGCAAGATTACGTCTGTCTGGGCTGCTGATTTGGCATGCAACGGCTTCTGAACTACTTATTTACATATGTATATAGATATATGTAAATATATAAGTATTTATATATTGCATATATTTAAGATTACAAATAAGGTATACTGCTTCTAGCTACGGTTACGGAAATTTGAGCTTCATTCTTACAAAACCTAGATACGTAAGATCAATTGATAAAAAAAAAAAATACATATATTTCATGGAGACAGGGACAACTGCCTCAATGCGTTCCACATTCCAATGGAATATTTCTTGGGCCAGTTGTCTTCCGCTCATTTATCTATGAGATATCCTTAGTATGCTTTAATATTAATTGCCTATAAAAGACACTAGACAAGCTACATTGATGTCTTGTTCCTTTTCATTTTGTACACTTTTCAAAGTTGCACCAAATGTGGCATGCAACAAATACTTCACACTCAAGTATGCCCAAGTGTCTGTGCCATTTAAGCAGCTTGAAAACTGTTGAGTGACAAGGACAGCAAGCCTAAAGTGTTGCTGGACGAAAAAAAAGAATGTTGCAAGGGTAGAGTCGGGTAAAGGGAGCTAAGCGGAAGACAGAGGCAGCATTTAACGAACGGAAAATGTCGAGGAATAGGCAAAGTGTATACGCAACAGAAATCAGCACGGTACGGACATGTTTGCATGCATAAATAGTAAAAGGACATGGCCACAGGACTCACTATATACGACTGTCTGCCTGCATGTGAGTGTGCGTGAAGTTTTGAGGCATACACATACCCACACATACGCTAGCAACAACAACAAGTTATGGTTATTAATTTTGCGTATGCAGAAGGCAGCACAGGAAGGACGAACTTAAGCTGCCGTCCATGGCTGGCCAGGCCAGGACAAGGACGCCTGCAATCCGCTTTGCAAAGTGTTGGTCACAGGATTTACAACGAAAGCAACAGAGCAAAGTGTCTGATTTATGTATGTGTATGTGTGTGCGTGTGTGTGCTTGTGTGTCCGTGTAAGCGCCTAAAAGGCAGCCGCAATATTTTAGCTGTTGTGTGCAAGTAGATATGCCGTGTCCGACTGCCATCCGCCTGTTTCATGCTAAATAATTTTATCTAACAAGTATACGACATGTTGCTGCATGTTTATGCCTTTGGTTCCCACACTCACCGTCAAATTGTTATCCGATAGATCCAAATGCTTCAGCGAGATGAGTCCCTCAAAGGCGCCCACATCCAGCTCGCTCATTACGTTACCGCGCACGCTTAGGGCCAGCAGCTCTTTGAGGCCTTCAAAGCTATCGTTTCGCACGTACTCGACCAGATTATCGGACATGTCCAGGCTTTTGAGCGCATGCAGATGCCACAGATTGCTGGCGGGCACATCTAGCAGTCGATTGTTGCGAAAGACGAGCACCTCCAGCGACAACATGCCCTTGAAACAGTTGTCCTCCAGGCTGACAATATTGTTGTTGGTAAAGTCCAGTTCCACCAGTGCCGCCAGATCGCCCAGTGCCGTGGGATGCACTGTCTCAATACGATTATAGCTAAGATCCAGAAGCAGTATATTCGTTAGTCCCTTGAAGGCGTGCTTGTGCAGGGCGCTGACCAGATTTCTGCTCAAGTTCAGAGTGCGCAGCTCCGTCTGGTATTCAAAGTTCTTGGAGCCCAGCGTTTCGATGATGTTTTGCGAGAGATCCAGCACCTCCAACTTCATGTAGAAGGGCAGCGTGAACTCCAAATTGCGTATGCGATTCAGCGTGAGGTTTATGTACTTTGTTTCCGGATTCAACTGAATGGGCACATCCTCCAACGCCGCATCCACGCACAGGGCGCGACTATTCGCATCGCCGCCCAGGCATTGGCACTTCGAGGGGCAGAAGGCATTTGTGCGGCCAGGTAGCAGCAGCAGCAGAAGTAGCAGCGGGAGAAGGTGCACCGGCAGCCAGGACAACGCTGTCGGCCAGGGTGCCAGGGAAGGAGGTTTACTATCCTGTCGCCACTTTGTGTGTGAGTTGGTTGTGTTACTGCTGTTGTTTTTGTTGTTCCTGTGTGTGTCGGTTTCCATTTTGTTGGTTGGTTATGTGGACCTCAACGGCCGCCTCTGTTTCCTTGTTGCTGTTGTTGTTGCTGCTGTTGAGTTACTTATGGTTGATTTGAGGTGAGTGTGATGCAGTATCACCAGTTATTGGACGTCATTGCTGACAGAGTTCTAAATGCAGAGAGAAGAAGACCAAAACATAAGATTGAATAAGTTTTACAATATGAACTATGTTATATATGGAATTCATTTATCTCTATATACAAAACAATATTAATCTCGTTTTATAAGATTACAACAGCAACTAAATACTTTCACAGAAATTCTCGCTGTGAGCCGTGCGCTGCAGTAAAGCTTAAGGTTTAAATGTTTTATAATTTTAATTGACTTTCCAGAGCATCTCCCTTTTACTCCATTGCCATCGCAACGTAGGAGCATAGTCACTCAGTAGAGTTATGAAAGTGTACTCTTTAATTTTCCTTCGGCATAATTAATATATTAAACAAAATAGGAGAGACTAGAAGAAAGTTCCTTAAGCTCAAGCTTTTTATTAAAGCTGATTGTTAAGATTTTAAATCCTATTTAAACAGACTGTACGAATATATATGCATTTAAAAAATGATTTAAATTTTCCAGTCTTCGGCAGATTATGATCCTTAACTGGAGCTATTACACTGCGCTATGGAAAACTTTTTGGACGGCGCACATTAAGAGAAACTGCCGGCAAGCCTGGACTGCCTTTGCATCTAAACCATAAAATGCAGCAGAGCTAACTCAATATCATTTTCATTTCCTACTTAACTCACCGCTCGTCGTCTGGAAAGTCAGCAACTTTCTATGCGAGTTGTCAGCACTTTTCATCGACCTACGAGTTTTGACTTTTGCTTGGCTCTAGCTCTCTGAGTTTTCAGGTTGGTCTCGACTTTTATGAAATATTAGCGCGTAACTTATGCGCATAAATCTTGCGGCGTGTCTCTAAAAAGCGAGCGTGTTAAATAAACTGGCAGCAGCCGCAAAAGTTTTTTTATGAATTACGCACCCAAAAATGCTGGAAGCTCTAACCGCGAAAGAGGTGTTGCTGCAGCAGTACGAGGCTGATTTTCATATTAAATCTGTTTTTGAAATACTGAGTAGAATATAATTGTAAAGTATCCTAAGCATAAAAGGTTTGCTAATTGTCAGTTGAAAGCCTTAAACTTTTTATTGTAATTTAAAATTCTTAATTGCAAGTTTAAAAAAAAATTGCATACCTTTCGGGCAATCGCTTGAAACCAGCGCTCTCTTCTGGGCATTTGCCGTTGCCTACTTTCAGGATGACATTTAAATGAAATTGCTTATTTTGCATGTTGGAACTCAAACACGCCCATTAAAGATTTGTTTATCCCTTTAAGCTACTGTCTAAGGCATGCACTCGATTTAAATTAAATATTTGCCCTTTGGCCAACACTCAATTAGGTAATTAACAAATTACATGCATATCTTCCGGTGTCTTCGCCTCAGCCCGTTGAGTAATTTAAGGCACTTGTCTGGCTGTCTGTCTGACTGCCTGTCTGCCAGTTACTCTGCGATTTGCATATGACAAGCGCAAACAATGAGAAGACCTTTCAGAATCACCCCGCCACCTTCAACCTCTGAAACTCTTTCTCCGGTGCGCACGATGCAAATTTGAACAATGCTCTTAACTAGCTGTAAAACAAATAATAAAAGCGTAGCGCAAACTTTTGAGGTTTCATTCTGTCAACAAAAGTTGAAAGCTCACACACACACATGCAATCCACAATCTGCGCTTCACTCCCTCCACTTTCTCTCATTTTCTCTGCGTCTCTCTTTCTCCCTAAAGTTCTTTGCTCTGACATCGCAGCTTGGTCGCCAGGTCTTGGATCATATTTTCTGCCTCAATAAAATTGGTGAAAAACAAAAAACCAGCAGAGTCAACTAACCAACCAATTGTCCTTCCCCCAAACACACACTTGGTTCCTGCGTGGGCTGTTAACCCCCTCAACCCCTACTCAATCGCTTTCTCTATGGCAGCGGCAAAAAAGTGAAAATTGTGAAAAATTCACTCCTGTGTGAATTATTAAGTTTCGCATGGCCACTGTTGTTGTTGTTGTTTTTGCTCCTGTTGCTTTTGTAACAGTGCATGTGTTTGTGCTTTGTGTGTACGGTATGTGTGTATGTGCTTGTTTGTTTGCGAAAAAATAAAGCAAAACGCACACAAAGTTTTTAATAAACTTTCGCACGCCAGCCTCACTTGACTGTAGTCGAGTCCCAGCGACGGTTGCCTCTCTCTGTTCCCGCCTCCTTCAAAGTGTATGTACTCACTAAGTGGGGGCGTGGCACTGGCAAGGCACACAAATATGATTTCATTGTGGCAAATATTTTGATAGCACGCCGTCGCATGCGGTTGCTGCGTCAGAGGAGAGCAAGGCTGCAAGTTTGAGGCTAGAGTAGTCAAGAAGCGCCCGGGCCACCCAAATTGGAGCACCCTCGAAGGCGCCGTCAAAGGCCAACAAGTTGAAACTTGTTGTTTTTGTTGCACTTTTGGCACTTTTTTACTCCGTGGCAGTTTTAATGGGGCCACCATAATCGAAGTTGGGCCTTAATAGGCTTATAAAATGCTTAAATATGTACGCAAACTGAAGGTGCATGTAAGCCGCATAGTGAGTGCCAATCTGTGTGTGTTCAAAATGAAGGAGTGCTTAAGTCGACTTACTTCATAATTGAGCTGGAACGATGGAGTCTGAATGGGAAAATTAAGAATAGTTTCAAGTGGACTGGACCTACATACCTTATAAAGAGAAAATATTAAATAGACCTTTTGATGAAATCGTAGAGAATTCATCTCCTATTTTGTCTATCCCTGAGCTTATCTTTCTGTTTGGAAGCAAACCAATTTAAGCCGACGTGTTCATACTTTTTACAATTTTCCGGAAATCAAAGTGAACTGCATGAAGAACTTATTTGGAATCATTAAAGTTGTTCTAGCTCAAGCAAAGAGCTCATCAAATACGCATATTCCAATCCAGTTTTAATATTCATAGTCTTTACGGCAGTCTCTTGCCAATTATTGCCTCTTCAGTTTTTTATAAGGCTAATTTAATTATATTGACAGTGCCATGTTTTTCCGTCAGTTTATTTGAATACAAGCGTGACTGGGAGTACCTGAAACTGGAGAAGCCAAGTTAAAGGGCCTTGACATACAAGCCGAGAGTCTTAGTGGGAATGCTGGGAACGGGACGTGCCAGTTAAATGTCATAAAAATGGAAAATAATAGCGACTACCGAGAAGGCGCAGCATCAAATGCTGATAATGGAAAAGCGCCTCCACTTGGCGAATCTACAGCAGCAGCTCCCATTCCAGGACTTTGGCCACGCATAAAACTTTGCACATAAATTTAAAACCAGCCATTGAGAAAAAGTCTGGGAATGAGTGCTCAGTGGGGGGGGGGGGGGGGGGGGGGGCAGCGGAAGGAGCGAGGAGTGCGAGAGGAGACAGCGTTGACTGTAAGGCCACAAATGGTAAGCGGGTGAGGTCAGGGTTCAGGTTCAGGTTCAGGCTGCGGAAAAGCTAGGAAGCGAAGCAATCAAAGGTGAAAAACTTTGCAAACTATGCGAAAGCAAACAGGCAAAAAGTCAATATTAATATTCACTTAGCAAGGGTCTAACGGCTGGATGGGCGTGGAGGGGGGAGGGCCATGAGTGGGATATGCTGACAATGGCCAGGCAAATGCCAAGCAAATTGAAAATGCGACGAAAAACGTGAGACGCGCCAACTTTTCCACCTCAACGTGCCCGAGTGCGTTTATTTTTATCAAGATTAGCATTTGGCTCGCCTGCCGGTGCCCCACCCCACGCCCCCTTCTCAGTGCTCAGGTATTGAATAGGCAAACAGAAAAGGCAACGTCGTCGACATGGAACCCGGACAACGTTGCAGATTCCTAGCCCGATTCCCCGAGTCTCACTTTGAAGTGCGGCACGCACAAATTGTCCCTCTCATTCTCTGAGATTTCCCAGCCACGAGTGGACACCGAAGACCGAAGACGCCGTCAAAGATGAATCGTTGATGTCGTCGCTGTCAGCAGGCAGCAGTTTTCCATCTGCCGCTCCTGCCCGCATTGCTTGGACCATATAATTGAGTGTCTGCAAAACTTTCAAGTGCCTCCGCTGTGGCAATTTGGCAAAAGCCTTTGCCACAAAATGTTGCCGCACGCATAATTAATGCAATTGTTGGCACAGGCACAGCCACAGACACAGACACAGGCAGGTTTTTGTTTTGTTCTGCTTAGATCTGTTCAGTTGGTCAGCCAGGGGGCCAAAATGGTTGGGGGAATCAGTTTGTCTGACAGAACTAAATGCAAAATTGTGTTCTTTTGGCCATGCTGTTAGCGCGATGCATGTTTTAGCATTCCATCGAGATCACAATGCTTTTAATAACTTGTACTTCTGATTCAAATAATAAAGAAAATTTAGATGTTTTATTATTTGCATACGGAGAGAAGAAAGCAATCGGGAATAGAACAATGACTTCTAGATGGATTTTTTGTAATTTAAAAAAGTTATTAAATATGACAATAAAAATATGGCGAGATTAAATACGCTTGAAGAATTTTAGTTTGTAGAAGAATAGTGAATTGATAGTGAAGCTCATAATTAGTGAGCTCAGTGAAGATATTTTGTCATACCAAAACTGATTTTAATTAGCCAACTCTTCCTAAAGAGCTATATGATAAAGTACTCAGATGTTGATAAGAATTGGCAGACATGGAGAAGAAAGGTTGGTAAATAAAAAAGATGTTCATACAAGAATTTACTTTTTGAAGGATTCCTTTTTCGGTAGCGGCATATATAAAGTCTTCATAGTAGCAGACAGACGGAATATCGGACATGGATATATCGACTTGCCAGTTGAAGTTGATCAAGACTAAGACCTTTCTAGATGTAGGATATCTGCCATTTATCTTGTAACATTATTTAAAATAAGGTACCGCGGAGAATGCTGCTATAAATTTTGTTATATATGTGATTGTT